ACCTCCGCTGGAACGTCTCCATTTTTTGTGGCCTTACCGTTAGACATCTTGCCAATGGCCTTCCAAAGCTCCGTCATGCTGAAATTACATGTTGCACGGGAAGCGGAGGGCCTAAGCAAGCTCTGACGCCTGGAACCAAGGTTGTCGGCCGTACTTTCCATTGTATTGTTTCAAGATGTTCTGCTAACGTCTCCGCTTGCATCTCGGACGAGGCGAGGTCGCCGTCGGCACTTCGGAGTCTGCCTTGTCTAGCCACCCGCCCACGACGCAGTTTCTTAATGGATCTCCAATTCCCGGAAGAAGCCAAGTCTTCAAGCCATCTGGATCGATCATGTTTGGCTGACGTGTTTTTGACTTCCGCTTGCAGACGTCTCTCAGCATTCCACTGGCCATGTATTCGGGCCGTCCGCCGCTGATGCAACAAGTCGTCAGTCTCAGGCATCCGCAAAGTATAGTGGATATGCAAACTGCCTTACCTTGCCTTACACACATGTACATGCATGTCCTCCGCACCAGGAGCGGTTGCAGCCTGGGCTTCGGTTGCATTGCCTTGAAAGGCGTTGCGGGATATCTGAGACCGGGACTCGTTGCGCTGACATAGCATCATTCCGTGCGGAGGCAAGCTCCTAGAGTGAGCAGGCTGAGCCAACTTTTTCTAGACCACAGTCAGCCGTTGCTTTGCCACCGGCTGTCCCACCTCCATTGCAGCTTTCAAACGCTCCTGCAATGAATGTACCTGGCTGTTGGAGTCATGCATGGGGACCACCCGGCAAGGCTGATAGCCACTTTAAAGACTCTTTCCATCAGCTCGTTGTTGTGGGTTGTTCATGCCAATGATGCCAATTCAACTGCATTGCCGGCCCTGATAGGCGTTGTCGAGTTTTCTGAATCTCTCACTGGCAGTTGCTCGGCAGGCCTGTTCTTAGCCTTCTTGGCTTTGTCACCCGCGCCGGGATGTTGCAAACCGCTGCAGTCGGACTCTTCGCTCAAGGTTTCGCATCCGTTGACGGGATATGCTCCAAGCACATCCCAGCACTACAGTAGGTGCAATAAGCTTACCGACAAGCCATCGCAGGCTGTCACATGCGCGCACGAAGAGAGTAACACGTATGGTATGCTTCATGGGATCAAGAGGGGGTGCAGTGTGGAAGCCACCAAAGCGGCACCAGTTCGACGAGAGAGGAATCATGTTTTGCCTATGTCATGCTTCAAATGTCTACCGTAACGCCAAGAATGCAGGAACTGGAGACTTCGACCGCAACTTCACGCAGTTGCAGGCGTAGGCAGACAGCTGACACTGACCTCCTCGCGGGCTTCTGCACTTGCGGCATCAGCCTGCTGGTGAAGCTTATCTTGCTTGTGCGGTGAGCTGAGCTTGAGCAGAACTGCCTCGGGGTGAAGAATGCTATCTTTGGCCTGACTGAGCAACATAGTGTAAGTGCACAAAGTGTTTCAGAGCCCACTCACTGAATTCACTGAAGACCGAGGCCAGCACTGCCTGGAAGGCCTGGAAAGATGCACCATCCTGGCAATGAACAAGTCTCTGAGTTGCTACTATACTTCAATATTTTCTTTGGCAACCCTCTTGGAGCCACGCGGACAAGGATGACTTCAATGATGCTGCCCGCTGACCGATTGCAGAAACAGCTCCTGCGACATGAAGCCCAAATGAAGAGCTGAGTAGCTCAGAAGATCTCTCAGGCAGAGGGACAAATGCATGGGCCTGCTCCGACCTTTCGCAAGGCATCCACACCGGATGGCTGGGAGGCTTGCGCTTCTTGGAAGTGGCGCAGAGATCTTGCGTTCTCCTGCGGAGCGTGGACTGAAGGATTCCGCAGTGCCGCCGGAAGTACCCCACCTCTCGAAGCTCTTCGGTTTTCATCTTCAACAGCAGCAGCTCCTCACGGGATCTCACTGAAAAAACTCATTTCGACATGTGTCACCGTTGAGGTGAGTCCTGCTGTAAACGGACAAATTCCTCTGAACTGAGACCAGACGCCATGGCGAATGAAAACCTCTGACCACATTAACTTTCAAATTGCCAAAGTGGTCTCCCCCAGCCGCTGCCAGCAGCTAGCACTAGTGTAGCACACGATACCCAGCACACGAGGCATACAAGAACCTCACTCGTAGCCCTAGCCCTGGTTGGAGAAGCTTTGTGCTTGAGCCAGCCATGATCGCAAGAATTTGCTCAAATCGCAACTGACTCGTGTATTGCTCAATGTCTGCGTACAAGGCTGAGCATGGGCATCTTCCTTGGCAATAAGTTCTTGCTGCAAAGTCTTGCTGTACACAGCTTTGCGCAGCAGCCCAGGCAGTCCATTCGGGTCTAGCCTGTGGCCCTGGTTCATTTACAAGCTTCCATGGCCTTCACATGTCTCCACGGCATGGGTCTAGTCACAGCTAGTCCAAGGTGTCCACCCACGATCCATCCTAGAATCAAAGCTGTGCGGCGACCGGGCTTCTTGCAACCCGCTTCCTATGCTTGTCCTGCCTCTTGTGGCTCATCGCACTCATCCTCCGAGCTGCTTCTACGCGACCATGCATCCACGCAGCCTCGGCATGGAAAGCGTCCAGACAGAATGTGTGGCAGAATTAGTTAACGAAGTGCCTTCTTCTGAAGAGTCCATGGACTCCAACTCGTCAAAATCCTGGCAGCGTCGGTGGAAACGTGCGTGCATTGCCCTCCCTGTCCAGGACATGCAAGGAGCAAGGAACACCGTCTCTTCCAGCCCCAGAACGGGATCCTTGGACGACATGGATGCAGCAGATGCTGGAAAACACAATGTGCCATTGGCGACTTTAAAGCTGCCAGCTCTGCAGCCAGGAAATGCCATCGAGAGCTTTTGGCTACTGCATTCAGCTAGCAGCTTTCATGTTCTATAGAGGCACGGAAAGACTGCGATTCCCAATTGCGACCGTGCACAATTCCCTGAGATTCCGTTGTCCCAGAGCAGATGGACAAACGCACACACCTGCAGCCGCGGCTCGTGCAACTGCACAGAGGCAGTTGGCAACTGTTGCGTTGGCTCCGAGAGCCTAGGGCCGTTTAGCTGGTACATTTGCAATCAGTCTCTGTTAAATGGAACATGCAGCTAGCTCACAAGATCGCACAGAACCCAAGAGCCTGACGCGTACACATCCCAAACAAAATCATCAGGACTCTGCTGAGGCCTAATCACACACAGGCAGGCATCGCTTCATGCCAAATTCTTCAATTGCTTCGGATCCGGCGCGCAGGGGGTCGCGACAAGCTCCATCCCATTGACCGTGAACCCGGAAGTTGCTGCCTCGCATCTCGCAATGATGTCTTGCTCTGCTGCTGTGTACATTTGACAGCGGCAGCGCTAAAACGTGAGTCTTGGCAGCTTCTTTGTGCTGAGCTCCTGGCAGGCATGGTGCAGTCTGGAGACTGGGAACGGTCAACGTCAATCAAGTGCACGTTTTCACCAGCATGCCTCAGCGTCAGACAAGACATGTCAACTAGCATCGGCTAGCGCAGCTCCGGTGGCTCTCTGCTCTACTATTTCTACTCCGTTCTGTCTTGTGAGAGACACCCATGGCTACATTGCAGGTGGCCACATCTGAGCGCCATCACCCGTTGACCATTCGTCGCGACGCCTGCACCAAACAAACGTTTCGATCTCGGAAGACTCTGCAGGGCCACTGCAGGGCCAATCAGCACTCATCACGACTTTCCCATACTTCGCCTCTCTCAGCTCCAGCATGGGCTCTAGTCTTTGCAAGCTCGCTCCTGAGATTTGGGGAGAGTGCAGACCGCCATACAGGAGTTGTAGGCATGTCCTTGCGGCATTGCAGGCCATTCAGCATTGGCAGCTGCTTGAAACCATGCGAGAGGAAGACATGATTCCTGACGCTTGCAAAGGGATGCACCATCAGGCCCAAGCCCAAGACCACGCCGCATGAACAGAGAAGAACAGTGCAGCATCCTCCTCTGGCCACTGTCTTGACCTTGAAGTGCTCATGCCAGAATGCAAGCAGACATTGGAATCCTGCGAGTGGCCCACCCAACTGTGTCAACCAACTTCAGAGCCGCAGCTGCGGCATCAGGTCTTTTACCTTGGACGTCAAGGCATGGCAGCGGTATACAGAAGTCATTGGCAATCCTGCATCGCAGACACATCGGAAGTATGGGCTGTCTGTCTGCTTAGGAGCAGGCGTTTGTCCAAGGCTTTTTTGGGTTCCTTGCGAATAATTCTCCGGTGCTTCCGCACCATCGAGGCCGAGAATGAAGCAGACTCTGACGCTGCTCCTCCAGCAATATCTCCGGAAGCGGCTCCTCATCAAGCCGCCTCTCAGAGCAAGGAGTCCATATTGAACGCTCCACGAAAACTGCACCGGATCTACCAGCTTCACTTGCCTCTTCACGCGCACCAGCACCCGTCCATCCTGACATCCGGCAAGACGGCGGATTGCAGAACTCAAAGCACATGATCACTGGGTTTGCAGCGTGGGCCAGCCCCTCCATCACAGGAAACACTCCGATGATTGACTCAGAGGCTGAAGTTGCTTTGTTGAGCTTGCATTGCCACATGCTGCGAGCTCATCAGTCTTGTCATTTCACCACATCTTGGCACATCATACTCGTAATGAAAATTCTCAAAGCTGCGCACTCTGCATGTCCGATGATGTTTGTCTTTCTTGGCGAGACCTGGAACCCAAAATCAACAAAAGCTCGCAGTGCGAGATAATGCCGGCTGATTTCCAGCCAGCCAACGCAACCTGTCGTCACAGCTGATATGGCATTTTCCGATGCGGCTTGGTGAAACTCCTCCTGCTGATGTTCAGCAAAATGGATGAAGAGATACAGCGTGTTGGCCGGCCGGTCAGCGTGAAGCAGCTAAGCAGAAAACCAAAGATCAACGCTCACATCAGCTGCGCATGTACTTCTAGACGTCTATAGCTACCCTGGCTCACAGTGTGTCAATCTCTGGCTGCCGGCACACTAGCCGTGGACTTGGAGATGCAAGCTACCGACGCTAGCATCTGGAACGTCGGCTCTTGCTCGTGCTTGATGACTCTGGTTGCGTGGCACGTCCAAGGGACCCGCAGCTGGAAACCTTTGCTGCAAACCAGGAACCAGGTTTGGAGGGCATCTGAAACTAAGACGCGCGCAGCGTTCATGCTGTCCAGCTTTCTTCGCAGTTCTTCGAGTTCCTGCTCTGCGGCCTTCTCACAAGACACGCATCTGGAAGGCCCGGAGTGAGAAAAGCAGTGACCTGCCGCCGCTCCCGCTCGATCTCAAGTTCCTCGGCACCAGGAAAGAATCATCAAGTGTTGAAAAGGCAAGTGCACCTGGCAACAAACACCAAGGGTGCCACTACAGACAGCACTGTGGAGCGGCAGGACATTCCGGAAACTGAACTTCTCGCTGAGATGCCTGTAGCCAGATGGGAAGCATCTCTGTGCTTGGCGAGGCCGTTGCACCATGCTGGGGGCACCGGAGCAAGCGGTACCAATGCGTTTTTGGCTACAGCCAATTCGGCTTCCCTGGCAGGTCGACATCACACCCTGGCATGGTGAATCGCAATATGTTGATGGTAGACTCCTCCTCATTTACACCATACCACTGACCCCAGCAGTTGAAGCCTTCAGCTCAGACTCGACCTGCAAGTGCAAACTCAGTGTAAGCCAATGCAATGTAAGCGCACGGCATGAGATCCACATCAAGCAAGCACATGCAATCACGCGGTCGAGGAATATGAAGAAATTAATGCCCTGCATTGCTCTGCCGAGCACCCAATGGGACGCATTAGCGTGAATCTGCACATGATGAACCAACCGGAGTGTGAGGCTAGCCAACTTTATATTGGCATTGCAGCGGCATCCTATTTGCTGCTGTGCTTGTGACTTCAGGCCCACATGGCATGACCATCCTTGCAGCTTCTTGCCCTTCTCAAGCATGCTGAGAACCCCGGAACATCCCAGTACCCCACGGATTGTCCAATGAAAGCCACTTGCCCAAGGCTTCTCAGGGCCCGGCAAGCTCAGGTTCGCCTCGAGCAGTTAAGATCTCTTGTCCTCACAGAACCCACTTCATAGATCAATTTTTGCAAATGCTGCAGGTCACATCTATTGAAGAACAAAGCCTCTGCATGCCAGCACGCTCCCAGATTGCCTGGACCTTGGTTTCTTGAAACCAGCCACAGCGCAAAGAAATCCCCTACATAGCAGTGCGGTCCGAAAGCGCGGCCAGACCTACCTGTTTTTTGCCTGCGCCACTTGCGCCACCTGCGCCAGCTGCCCCAGCTGCGCCTGCGCCACTGCGCCACCTGCACATTCTGCACCAGCTGCACCACCTGCGCCAGTTGCGCCACCTGGACCACCTGCGCCATTTGTCCAACCTGCGCCACCTGCGCCAACTGCTCCACAAGCGCCATGCAGCGCCACATGCGCCACTGCGCCGCCTCACCATCTGCGCCAGTTGTGGCAGTTGCGCCACCTGCGCCGCCAGTTGCGGCGCCTGCGCCTCCTGCGCCATCTGCGCAAGCTGCGCCAGTTGCGCTACATAGTGATTACATCCTGAAGTTCGATCCAGGCTTACTTGCAGCAAAAACAGAGGGACCGCGTGAGAACGAGCACCACGCGGGACTCAAAAAATGAAAATGCAGCGGATAATGCTCCGCGAGAGCAAAGATCAAGATCCTTGAACGTGCGGAGATTTCTCATCCGACCAACAAGGCAGCCAACGCCGGCCACTCTCTACAACAGATGTACTTATATTGTGACTGCTGTAGGCCTTGAGGCTTCTCGAACCTGTACAGAATCGCTGGCCTGAACGCTTGTACACGAGTTGTTGGCCCCAGTGCGCTCTTGCTGCAGCACTGCAGTCCACAAGTGACTCACAAAAAGCCAATCCAGCATCACTGAGGCCCCTGAACTTAGTCATGTGGCATTGAACCTGAACGGGATGAAGCGAAGCACCTTTACATGTCACAGGGCTTCCGCTCGCAACCAGCGAACAGCATGCAAAGTTCGATGTCTGCATGCCACAAACGCTCGCAACTCAGGTGCAAGGAACGACGAGCCTCGGCTCTTTTTACTAAACACGTGAGGTCTTTCCCCTGATGCCCATGCCATCCCACATCACGCCATGACTCAAATCCACCCTCGAAATTGTCCAGCCATGATTCATATGATTCTGCGGGGCAAAGGCCTCATAGCCACACCAATTGAAATAACATGCTATCGCATACGGATCCTTTTGCCTGCAGAGGCAGTTTTTCCTGCAGGTAAGATGAAACCGTCAGTAGCCACTGGGACCCAAGGCTGCGAAGCCCAAGCTTGATGAACAACATATGAACTACAGTCATTATTTCCCGAATGATGGAGAATCACATGGACAAGAAAATGGAAATGATATGGAAACTGGGATTATGTAGGGCGTTCTAGGGCCTGTTCTTTGCTCTCTTTCCCAACAAAGGTTGAAAGCCTCATACTTGCGCGGACTTTTGAGCGGGACTACTGCTGGCCTCTGGGCATCTGGGAGCTACAACTTGACTAGGAGCGCCTGTTCTCTGACATAACCCGTGCTGTTGACGAATTTTGCCTAAGAATGAGCATGACGATGGGTCCTCCAGCAGCGTAATCACTCGAACTCCTTTCTAGGGGAAGCCCTTGGCTTCGCTGAGTTCGCAGCTCTCCGGTGGCGAGGCGTGCAAGCGGCGTCCTAGGTATTCTCCTGAGCAGGAACTCTTCAAAGCTGATCTTGAAGTGGCTCGACGCCCATGCAACAAAATGCAACCAGGCACCGCCAGCTAACCGGGCAGCTGCCCTCGCTCATCCTCGGAAACATGCATGCCACATCGAAACCGAGCACTCCCACGTGATGCGCATGAACAACAATCCGCAAAGCCACGTAGAGTTCGCAGTGGCCCGAACAGCTGCTCCCTGTGAGTGAGAGAAAGCACCCAACTGCCGGGATGAGGCTGTTTTTCAGATGTGCCTCCTCTGCATCGATGCGATTGCGCCAGAACTTTTCGCACTGAACCGGATTTTTCGGCTCTGCGCCAACGTAGTAAGACATTGCAACCTGCTGCTCGCAGTGCTTGCAGATTCTGATCTTCCTCAAGCTTGGGCTGAGAACTGGGTGCTGAGCTCCGCCAAGCCCTGCAGAGACGAGCGCGGACTTCGAGCCAAGAACATGCCAGAGCAGAGGCTGCAAGACTGGATGCGCAACATCAAACACCAATCATTAGCCCTGTTTAAATGCAACTTGTTGTTTGCTGGACGAGCTCACCGGCTGGTACTTGATGCCAGCTTTCTGACCATGACGGCTACACGTCGCCATGGCGGCTGCAGAAACATGTGTGAAAACGAGGGCAGCCATGGGGTCATTCTCTCGGCCTGGTGCAGACTAACGGACACGACTCAGGCTCAATTGAAGAATTCCGGCCTGGTAGGGCCATCGGCGGGCCGTGCCGGCCTCTAGCTGATGTGAATGGGGCACTCAACTCTTGATGTATCTTGAAGCCACTTTCGCTTGGGCGGTAACCCAAATCTCTCGTCCATGGCCAACTGTGTCACTTCCTCGATGGCCTGCCTCCTGAAGCAGAGATCTTTTGTTGAAGCACCTCCTTTGGCCGCTCGACGATGGTCCTCGCTTTCGCTTCTTTTTCGAAGTCGTTCGCGACTGTGTCTGAGTTCATCTCAGGCTGCATATACCTCAGCTTCTGCCAGGGAAACGGCAAAGAATTTTCCTTTATACTTTGCTTCTGGGAGGTCAGCGAATGCACACAAATGGATCCGAGGGCCATAGAGCCAAACGATGCTGCCTCAAAGGCCAGGTGAATCCAGACCAGAAGACCAGTCACACGGAGAGGCGCTGGCCATGGTCCCCAGGTAATGTCGCAGCGGCATGCCCATCGCCTGAGTGCTTAAGAAGCAGCGGTTGCGCTTCCACACCAGAGGTCTTTCCAGCACCCGGCCATGGTGCCGTGCCACACGATGTGCTGGCGGGGCTATGCTGGCTATGCTTTCCACTGTCGGTGCTGTGTTTGCAGAATCTGGGAGTATCAGGCTAGCACAGTCTGGTCTAGATGAATAGTGAAACAAGCATGTTTTGTATGAATGCATACTATATAGAGGAAGTCATGAGCCATGAGCACAAGAAAGGCGCCCACAAGATCTGGCCTATGCTTCGATCAACAGGGCTGATCTCTGCCCTCTGGATGCGCTGTCTTTTGCAGCACCAGACTTCAGTGCCGGCGTACATTTGCTAAGGGCTGAGAGAGCTGGCATCATAGCTTAGCAGCAGTCCAAGTCTTGGGGCCGGCAACATTGGCCCGCCATCACCAAAGCTTCTCTGCGCAAGCTAGGCAGTAACATGCAGTAACAAGCCAGCCGTGAGCTGAATGATCTCAAGCCTCGGGCCAGTGGTGGCCAGTCCTTGCATTTCAGAGCTCACGTGTTACAGCCTTGGTTTTACCACTGAGGCTGAGCAGTCCACAGTCGTGTGTACAGTAGATCACCACAGTAGACCACAGTGAGAGCGCCTGGCTACTGAAATAAATCTGGACTCTCAACCTGAGCCCTCAGGCGTCAGCTTGGCACCAGGCATATCGGAGTAACCACACGCGCTCCAACAGATGCAGCGCGCCTGACGGACTTATTTCACGCCGATAGCTGTTAAAGCTTGCTTGACAACATATAGCAGTACTTCGCAATTTGGCTTCGTGACCACAAAGCTAATCCATGCTCTTGATTAATAAAACCCCTTAGATTTACAGAAAACTATTCGGGCCAAATTAGGGTTTCAAAGGCTACTTTAAACACGGAGACAGGTTTTGGCCAAAACAATCCTTGATTTAAAGAAGATCATCCCCAAACCCCAAGAGAATATGGGTCCAGCTGTTTTAGGCTCTAGAACTTAAACTTACACCTCAAACCTGTTCTGTAGTCCTAGAAAAGTAGTAGGGACCTACTAACTCTAGACTCCAGAGAGGGCCCCGCAAACAGCATTTGCCTACTAAACTTTACTAGGAATTTCAGGGCCAAACATTGCTTCCTGAGCTACCCCTTACTGTTGCTTCCGTGGACGTTATTTAACATTGACATCTCCTTCTGGCATCTGGGGCCCCTGAAATCATGTGAGTAGCGTTTTTTTTGATGGTTGAACCCAGTAAGATAATATCCCTTATATAAAATACTAGACCCCAAAAGGAGGATAGAATCTTACTCTATAATGGGCACCCTAGTATCCCCAAATAAAATACTACTCATGAGGCTTTTCTATTCATATAAGAAGGGGGGGCCCTTGTTAATCAAGAGCGTGGATTACTGCAAGCGCTGCACTCCTTGAGTTCGGCGTAAGGACCGTCGCACGAATCCGGGCCACTCACCACGTGCCTGAAGCCAGAATTGCTTCAGTCTCACTCTCAACTTGTCCAAATTAAGCAGCGAAGCCTGTCCCAAAGAGCCGAAACCCGAACGGTGAAGCCTTGCTTTCGCTTGGCGGCTTGTAGTGACTTGTGGCAGACTGCTGGTAGCACCAGTTTGACTTCTCTGCCGACACGGGCCTTGCTCGAGATGTCACAGCGAGCTGCCTCCAAATGCCAAATAGCGCCCTGCAGCAGAGCACCGCCAGCCTATCAAACAAACTGCATCATCAAAGCTGGCACTGTCAATTGTGCTCTGGGCTTTCTGACCTGGAGCGAAGATGATGCCCTCCACAAGCGCTCCATGCCTGTTGAAGGAGCAAGTGAACAAGCACCTCCTGTACAACTATTTAAACCATTCTTGATGCTAAAAGTATGAACCCTGCCTGGAGCAATCGCTCCTGGCACCGTGTGGCAAAAGCCTTCTGCTGATCACGCCACGCCAGGAAGGATGCTCTCATCAGGAACTGCCTGAGCCCGTCCATGAAGCCTATCACCGCACTCGTTGTCAACACAAGTCGTGAGCAATTCCAACTTGAGGCTGGAACAAGCCCGCGCGTGCAAGGTGCGACAACTGCCTTAGGCGAAGTCTGCCAAGCTCCATATTTTTCAACCCGCAACACGTGCCTCATCTGGATCGTTTGCAGCAGATCTTCTACTGCAGCATCCTCTATCAGTTGTGCTGATCTCGGGCTGAAATCCAACGTCCTCATAGTGAAGCCTGCGATGTCTCGCTGGCATCATCATCCCAGAGTTGCCTTTGAGTGCCGTCCTGCGTTTGGGAGTTCGGGGCCGGGCAAGTCCCAGGTGGCATTCGCGTTCGCAGTCTCTTTTGAAGCTGGGGAACTGGAGGGGCTCAATCTGCAAGAGAAGAGCTTGAAAGGTTCGACATGTGAAGGGGCTGGAGTCAAGGGATCCAAGTTTGAGAGTTCCGAGGTTCGCGGCCGATGGTTTTTTTCGTCTCATGCTCATCTTGTTTGCCCGCGTGCATCGTTGTCTTCTTCATCACTCTGATCTTTGCTCCGGTGCAGTGCGTAGGCTCATAGACGAGTAGAGCGTCGAGATTTGGATGCGAATTGTGTATTTCAGTATCCTGCTAGCCTTTGTGCTAGCAGCTGGTAGCCTCTTTGCTTTTCAAGCTATACTGGCTCTTGCCATGAGCACTACAAAGAAACAAAGGACATGATGCACGAAGCTTCAGCTACGGCAGAAGTACTCTTGGCGTCTGCACCACATGAGATAGAATCCAGGGGCAGAGAGCTTGAAGGCCTTTCCCAGCACCCTGATGTACTAGTACCAGCTTTGCGAACATGCTTCAAAAGATGCGCGAACCCAAGGACTGCGCAGATAGCGTCATCCTTGGTCGGCTCCGTCTCCAGTTGGTCTTTCTGCTCCTCCTGGACACAGATATGGCCATCATCTGGTGCAAAGAACGGCATGTCCATGCGAAGCCTGGGCCCCAACAAGCGCTTCTGCCAGGTCTGCCTGCACAAGACTTCTTTGGTCAAAGCAATCGCAAAGTGACTCAGCAAAGGCCTCAAGCGCCTGACTCCTGAGTTTGGACATCTCCTGAGTTGTGACGGGCTCATGAAGAATGTGCAGAGCATGTGCAGAGCATGCGACCTAAAGATCGCAGGCACTGAGCTTCTAGCGCAACGAGCCTCTGCTCGCCTGAGCGCCTCATCAGCTGCGCTGACAGCGTAGTTGAGATGCCCGGGCAAGCGTATCCGTGGTGACGGCCCCGATTGCCTGTGCAACTTTTGTGAATCGATCGACACCGATTGCCGTCAAAGCAACATGACCAGGCCTTGAAGCCTCTGCCTCAAGATAGAGAGAGCCAGGCGGTGTTTATCTTACACGAGAGCCACTCTCTGGCTGTTAACATCGTTGCCTTCCCCAGTAGGGCATCTTGATGCCATGCAGAGAAACAAGCGAAAAGAGCCAATCGAAGCCTGACAGCACCGTATGGCGAATCTAGAAGCATTGTATTAATAACTGCCACATGTTAGCACAACATTCTCCAAGTTCAAAACATGCAACACATGATCAGCTTTCAACATGGTCACTTCAGTGTTTGCATTTATGCAGGCATAGCTGCTTGACTGCTTGAGGGCGGCACATGTCAGGACAGAGGCTGTCACACACACGGCTGACCTTTCAAGAATTGGTAATCAAGGAAGCCAGGTTTCAAAAGGGTCTGCAAGAGACAGCAATACAAAGTAGATATCCAGAGATTCTGGTCAAATGGCTGTGTGGTTTCCAGAGAAGGTTGAGGCCTTGAAAAAATGGAAGTATTACTGGCGGCCTCAACAGCTGTAGAAGGCCCTGTCTCATGACCACGACTGTAAGCTAGTACACAAAGTACATCTACAGCGTCTACATTTACTTCGCTGCTCCTTGCAAAGCTGCCTGCCTTTGGCTATCAAACAATGCTACCAAAAGCCGTTGTCTGAAGTCCAGCCGAACTTATATCACATGCATCTTCCTCAAGCTGGCGCGAAGCGACTCAAAAACATGGCAAGGCGACCCAACAGCGAAGCCGATGCAGCAGTTCCTGCAGCAATAGATACAGCACTCATGCGATTTGATTAGATGCCCGTAGGAGACAGTACACCAATGATCACTGATGCTACAGCGAAGCTGCCTTATCACGACGTTCCTGCTCAACCAGTTGCGGGCGCAACGAACGCCGGCTTTGAAGTTCTGTCTCCAGCTCGGATTGCACCAGGTTGTGCTCCAGTCTTGCTTCGGTCAAGGCACGGTCCGTCTGCAGGAACTTCTGGCAAAAAGCCTCCTCAGAAATTGTCAGCTGCCGAATATCTTCTTGGAGCTGCTGTCGAGTCTGCGCATGCTCGAGTTCTTCGAAGCTTGTGCGCATCTCCGACTCCTCAAGCACGTGCACCGCATCTTTAAGCTGCTGAGCTGCACAGCGCTCCTCGCTTCTGAGCTGTCGCTCATTTTTCTCATCTAGCTCAAGGCGCCGACACATGATGCTTTGCACACGCAGCTCATCTGAAAGAGCACTACAGTGCTCTGCCCACTCATCTCGCTCTTCCCCAAGTTGAGCAGACTGAGATTCTGAAGCTGCCAGCTCCTCGGCAAACACTTCCTGCCATGCTTGAGGTGCGTGAGGCCACTTTGCCTCATTCACCAGAGCCTTCAGTTCAGCAAGCTCGCTGCTTGCATCACGTAGCTGAGCTGACTCCTCACGAAGAGTGACTCGTTCTGCCTGCCTTTCAGAAACCACCTCCGCTCGCACAGATCGGAGTACTGCCAACTCAGCTTGGGCTGTCTCAGCCTCTGCAAGCCTTGCATCGGTTGCCTCTGCTTGTGCTTTAGCTAGAAGTGCGGCATTTGCAAGATCTGTCTGCAAGTGTCTATCCGCGTACGATGCTAATTCAGACCGCAACATTTCGCACTCCTGCCATTGCTGCAGAACTTTGTCTGCAGCCATCTCATCCATCCGGTCTTGACAGTCCAACATCTCAGCCAACGTCTCAGCACCTCTTGCGGCGGCTTGCGCCGCAACTGCGCTCTGCCATGCAGTGAGACACCACCGCAAGGCAAATCGCGATTGCCGCTGAAGCGCCCGATCCACTGCTCGGGCAGGGATTTGGGCCGACGGCTTACTCGTCAGGATGCGCTCTGCCTTTGCCTTGCTCCGCGAAGAGGAGCAAGACTTTGATGGTTCAGACTGGACAATGCGGATCGCTTGAACGCCCTCACGATTCCGCCTGCCAAGGGGTGGCTTTGCACCCCTGTCTCTTCCTCCGCTCTGAGCACCGTTCTTTAAGCCCTGTTCGTGGCCCAGCAGGCTGTAAGTCCCAGAGCTTACGCTGATTCTTGCCTCATCAGTGTCTTGCGAGCCAATATGCAGAGCTCCATCCTCGCTACCAGTCTCATCCCGCAGCGGTCGTGAGCCAACCCCGAAGACAGGAGTCGCCGGAGCTGGCTGAAGGCGCAGCTCGACTTCAGCTGAAGACTCTGAGATGAGGTCAGCATGGTCAGTAAGACGGCTCTCTTTTTTGCTTCCCGCACAGCCAGTACTTGCAGATACTAGCTGTCTTCCATCGGGAATTCTTGAGGCCTGCCAGTCTCAAGACAAGCAATGTTGTTAAAAAGTCCTACTGGAATTCCAGCGGCCTGGATCGTGACTGGCTCCTTGTATAAAATCCTTATGCGGATCAAGACTATGCAAACTTAGATTCGCAGAAGGCACAGGAGATTGTCGAAGCAGGGTCGCAGACATGCCGCGGGATGCTCTGCAGTCCTGCTTGACCTCCAGAATCAGATGGAACAAAGATCCCCACAGGTCTCTCGAACATGGGCCTGGGCGTCCAAAAAACGTACGCAGATAGGGCTGCGGTCGTCCCATCCTTCAACTTCATCACAAGCCTGGACGATGAGGCATGCTTGGCATGCTGAGCTTCTTCAAAAGTCTACGGCCGCGGGAGCAGACTTCTCGCTGCCCTAACTCTAACTCCAGCAGTGTGGATAGCTTGAGACTTGTGTCTAGAGAGTGAAGTCTTCTGGGTTTTCCTGCACGTTTCCTCCTGCCTCTGGCCACATTTGAGTGACAGCGCTCCCACTGCTGTTGCCTCTGCTGAGACAGGCGAAGGATCAGCCATGTCCTTCATACACTTTGCGCCGTGCTCCCGGCTATGCACATCCTCCTTACCATGTCTCCGGCCGGAGTCCTGAACATCGGGACTCTTCCTCGTGATGCCTTTCTGATCCAAGCAAGGCTCATAAACATGTGGATGCCTGAAAGTGGAGATTGTGCGCTGCCATCACTTCCTTGCACAGCCTGATGTGGGGACAATGTGTGGTGCTCAAATGTGCAGTCTCACTGTGTAGGCTGTGTAAGCAATGACCTCATAGCTGAGGATTCTGAGAACCGCGCTGGCTGCTCAGAACCCTTTCTTGGCCGAGCATGCGCCGCTCTTGCCCTGACTTTCGAGGCAGGCCCCACCCTGGGTGAACTACTCTGCTGGGCAAGCACCCACTTCCACAATAGCTGCAGGCTCGTGACCCATCATGCACCGCCGGCACTGCTGATGTTGATTGAGCCTTTGAAAGGGCTGTAAGTAACTACGGTAATTGGCGCAGGACAAACAAAGGGCCTCGATTGCAGCTCCACGCTGGCCGCCAGAATCCTTTGGAGCGACTTCTTTTGTTTTGGCCTTCAGCCTGCGCGGCCAAAAGCCCATGCAGCCATCCTTGATGCATTCTGTCTGCTAGTTGCGTGTGGGTAATCGAAAAACGTTGCTCCATAGTGCGGCATCTCGGATTGTCAGAAGATGGACATGGTGTTATGGTTATACCTGGTCCATAATGGAATATAATGCATATTGCCGTCTGAGTGTGTGATTTCTGCTGAAGCCTCTGGCTGTTGAAGCGGAGCGCGCTGCTGTAGGCTGCAATGGGATGGGAAGATGCGAGTTTCATCATGTCGTGCAGACCCCATGCACGGCTCGCATGCATCAGTTCTTTTGGCACCAAATACGGGCGACCTCAGTCGTACTCGACCTTGATGATAAACAGATCTGCACACGTGCAAGACAACCTACAGTATTGCTAGCCATAAATGTTGCACTCAATTTATACGAAAGAGACTCCCTTCAACGTGCTTCTTGGCCAGCTTTAAACAAGAGATTCTCTTTAATGCGTTTTGGTTTGGGCCCCTAACCCAATCCAGGCAATCCCCTTAAACTAATCCCCAAGGCCCTAAGTACCATGGGAGCCTTATTGAGGACGCCTATCTTAATTTTCTGGACGCCCTATCGTTAGCAAAAAATGCCACATTATATTCATCATAAAAAAAAAAATCTGCATACACAACTTGATCACACAAACGTGACCGGACCAAGGTTGACACTTCCAGGTGCCGTCTGTTCTTCTGACCCAGGTGGCGGAACCTGGAAGTGACAGCAGCCAGCGGCTACCCGCAGCACAAGGAGTACTACATGTAACTTTGAGGAGCCAGGGGCTGAACTTCTGACCGACACTTCCTGAAGGATCGTCGCGTTCTGGCTTCTTACCAGACTGCTTGGCATTCACCCTTGCCGGCCTCCATGCCCGTTGTGGGCACCATAGTTGGCCCAAGGTCCTCCCTTGTTAGAGTAGTAATCCATTGGGTAAACCTAAGCTGCAGCAGCTATGCTACGCGTTGAGTGTCTACAGCCTCACCGCGTCAAGTCCTGTAAAACAATTGCTGGGGCCATGGCATCTTTGTAGGCAAGGCCCTGTAGCAACAAATGAAATCCAAAACACACTGCTGCAGGAAAGGGCTTCTATGACTGTTTATGACCATCATTCTTATCCTCCCTAAATCAGTTCCCCAACCCCATGCTTCTCACTGCGAACCTACAGCACAGATGGTACACATCATCAGGCTTCATAAGCTGATGCAAGACCTTTCTGCACGGAGCAGCGCGCTCCATGTGGGCAGCAGTCTCAATATGGTTGAACAGAGCGTCCTCTCAAAAACCGTCCATGGAATGAGGCAAACTCTTCTTCAGCAACCTCTGTGCAGAGCCATACAGGAGTGTCAGCACCTCCCTCTGCGCTGCTGCCAACAATGAAGGACGCAAGCCACAACACATTACTCATGAACGTCCCGCGACCAGTAGCCATGTATGTCCTACAGAGACCAGGACAAATTGAACACAACAGAGCTGGTGGCTTGTCCTTCGCCAAAACCCGATGCAGTTGAGTCATCAAAGCCTTTGACGTGGCATAAGCCGAGCCCGGAAAGCCTTTCTCTCTGTGCTGGTTCTGCTGTGCTGCATCAACAAACTCCTCAGCGATGGCATCCAAGCTCTGAACCGTCAAGTCATCTGCTAGCAGCCGTTCTTTCATTTGGGGTGACCAGCTTGAACCTAGCTGGCCGGCAGACGACGACACCCCAACAGACCGAGAATTCGGCCTGAGCAACGGGCGAAGAGTGGTGAGCATGCGCTTGGTCCCGTAGTAGTTTACATTGATTGTTTGTCTTGCCTGATCTGGGAAGGGGGTTGGGTCGTTCATAGGGAAGGCCAGTCCGGCATTGTTGACCAGAATATCAATTCCACCAAACTCTGCTCGAATGAAGTTCCCCAACGTCTCAACAGAGCTCGAATCAGCTATATCGAGTTGGTGAAAGACGAGCTTCACTTGGTGGCCAAGCTCCTTGTTCAGTTTCTCCACAGCGTCCCTTCCCATGTCAGGTGATCTTGCCGTCAAAACCACTGTACTTGCCTCAGGCAGCTTGCATGCCAAACCACGAGCAATCTCGTAGCCAATGCCTGGCACCCTGTTGGCACCAGTCACAACTGCCACAGTCATGGCTGCTGGAAGAGACAAAGACGAAGATCGAAGCTGAAATTGCTGCGAGACATGGGGTTCAGGAAAGGAATGACGCTACGCGCCGAGTCTCAGAGCGCAGCCCCATATGCCACATGAGCTTCGTAGGGCGTCAGCCTGCAGTGAGCTCTTGGTGAAATTGCAAAATCCCCGTTGAACGGGTGCAGCCAAGTCACAGTGGCTTCTCGTAAGAGCTGCCCCAATCCATGGAAAGCCGTGGACAAGCGACTTGCACCCACGCCTGGACTTTTGGCCTCAGGAGTGGTCATTCCCGCACTCTGCCCGGCCATCCCGGCATATCCCGGCATTACACGCAGCAAACCTGCATTCAAGCACGGACCATAAGGCGGCGGCATAAGTGCAAGCCTCTCCGGCGAAATCTCTGACAGCAGAATTGTGAAGTGTGCAACACCTTGCCGACACGCGCACTTTCCTGGCCTGTTATGGTTCAACACTTGCTACAATAAATAGATGCGCCTCGCTGGTCGAGCAACCGTTCAATCTCCTCTAGTACTCCAACACTGCCCTGTCGGCCAAGGGTTCCTGACGGGTTCGCCGAACACAGATCACGCGAAGTAGGGCGCTCACAGCAAAACATGGCAGGGCCACCGAGGACGAGACCGACCTTGGGAACTGGTCCGCGCAACACAAGGCAAAACGTCAAGCACTGCCAACCCTGGCCAACTCTGCCACGTGGTGAGCACTGTCTGGCTGCAGCAGGTTGGCAAGCTGCGCTTCTCTCGCGGCTGCAATGGCAGCCCGTCGGCTCGAGTGCAACTCGTCGTGTGCAAAGCCCTCCCGCCTTAATAGCACGTTCCCTAGCTGCATGTGAGCCTGCAAACATCTGCAAGGAGTCTGTGCTGGGCGGACGTCAGCGTCTGGCAGACCGGGTCGTATCGGAAGAAGTTCCCCCGCAACTGCCTGGCGACAATGCAAGAACCCTTATAAGAGGGCTAGGCTGTGGTAGAAAGTTATGCCCTTCCATCCATCCAAGTGGCATTACAAAGCTGCGTTCAGTGGGTACCATGCATCCCTGAAACCTGAAGCATCGTGCCAGCCAGACGGGTTTTGAATCATGGCGCTTTCAAGGTGGAATCTTCCATCGCACACGAAAATCGCCTGCAAGGATTGCGTATAGTTACAGGACATCTTCCGCAACACTCACTCATCAAAGTGCAAATTCAACGTACGAAATATGTACATATGTATATGTCGTAAAAATTGGAAAAGAGCAGGCAGACAACTGTCATTGCAGAGTTGCAGAACACTTCACCAAGAGCCAGGCTGCATCAACGTCTCCAGCATTGGGCGACGTGCAGCCAAGAGTTTCTCCGATGCCCAGTGGCTTCACCTGACGGCTAAACCTACGGCTCGTGAAGAAAGTACATGGTCCACACATTCTCCGGCTCAGCCGGCTCGGAACAAGAAAACGCTGCAAATTTTGCTCGGCCATCGGTCTTTGCTTGGCCAATGGCTTGCGGGACTTTGGCCACCCGATCTTCGGCCTCAAGGCCATTGCTGCACCTCCATGAAACGAACTTGACTTTTCGAGTCGGGCCTCCTTGCGAAGCTCGTCCACTGCCTCTCGGAGCTTCAGTCAGCGACCGCTTCTCATCACTAAAACAAAACATCTTGGGACCTGCAGCGTGCCCGATGAAAACTGAACGCTGCTCATGAAGGCAAGACCTGGGCCAAAGCAGGCGGGCAACTGACAGTCTGGATTTGAAGCTTTGAATGCATGGTTGCTGACGTTTATCAGGCGTGAAATTATGTCGAACAGTGTCAACAAGGTGCTCCACATCCACCTCAACCTGCAGTCAACGCGCTGCATGCCGTTATGTACAACACGCAAATCCACCTCCACGTGAACATAAAGTGTGGTGACAGTTGTTTGATCTGTGGGCACCTAGGCAGCCAGAGGCCCCATGTCAGACAGTCAGAAAGGCACCCACAAAAGGGGCATGTCGCAAATCATCTTGGAGCCCTACGATACAAGAGTGACCTCACTGCACAGGGTCGTTCGCAGCGCATGCAGGCACAGTCGCAAGCAAACACAACGAGTGCTTCAGCTCAGTGCCGTAGTGTATCAGGAAGTCGACTCCCAAGGCAGATGCCTGAAAAGGCAAAGAGCAAGGCAAGGCTGATGACGATAAGAAATGAAAAGCATCGCGCTGCCGCTACATCTCTTCCATTGCTACGAGTACAGTACTTTGCACTTGCTCCCGCTGCTCAGATAGACGTGTTTGCATGATTATCCTTCCCGTGAGCTAATTGCAACTAACTCCGCACCTCTAGGTGACACATACAGTTCTCTGTCGCTTGCTTGATGGTCAAAACTACGGCAAGCGACGCCGAGGTCGTCGATGCAACACGCGCCGAACGTCACGTCCCCGAATATAGTGCTGCTTTCGGCCTTTGGCAGTCGAGGCGTGCGGGTAGACTTGGCTAGTGCAGATCATTTAAGACCCTGGACTGTTGGGACGAAGCGCGAAAAGATGTCGGCCAAGGCTGTGGCCTAGGTGAAAAATCAAAGTTAGGATAACCCAAGCCTTGGGCGCATCAGCGCATCCCAGCTACTGACCCAGCCCTGCAAGCCCTCTGGCAGCTGCAGGCCTGATTCAGGGACGCGCGAGCATTGCATCACCGAATGCAGCTTGCAAGTGCTTGCAACATGTGCGCCTATGTGCCGCGCGCCGGCACGCCGTAGTTTCCAAACAGAGCGGTGGACCTAGCGCATGTTAGCGCATATTGACGCATGTTGCGGGCATCTCAGCACACATGGAACGTCATGGAACTAGAGCCGGCCTCGAAGTCGTGAGTCCGCGGCAGCCTGGTTGCGATAAATGAGTTCAGCTCTTCATCACCCAGGATCTCTGCAGGGATGCGTCGGTTGGCCTTGCTGGGCGACTGGAACAAGCGGTGAAGCTCCAAACCGTCTCCCACCCAGTCCCTCACACCATCACATCTTGACATTTAACGACAAAGAGCAGGCTGCGAAAGGGAGCTGTAAGTCATCTTGCCGTGGGATCCCAAGATCCCAGCGCTAGTCCTTGACCTGAACGGTGGAGCTGCCGGCAAAGGCTCAGCGGCCACAGGTGCTACAGGCCTTGGCGCCGTGTGTCTTTTAGACTCTACATCATGGGAAGCTCTGCAGAGAAAGATGCGTACAGAATCTGTGGAATCATCCGTGAAACATGTCATGCTTTCGGCTTTTAGGACTCATATATTATGCGCATTGTGCGATGAGGCTTCCACGGCTGCTGTTCGCTGGAAGGCCGCAAACTAGGTGCTGCTTCGCGAGCTTCTGCTGGTTCGGGTGTCAGCACAACGCTGACAGAACCTGCCTGGCCAGCTGCGCTGCGCAACCGCAAAGCGGAAGTCCCTGATGGAGTGAAAATCTGCCTGGCTCTCGACTGCACTGCCAGCCAACAGATCCCAGATGTCTTCTTCCTCATCACCTGCTGCAACTTGGCTACACATCATCTGCGCCGTCAATATGAAATGTTCGTGGCCTACGGGTGCCATGGTGCATCTGGAACCATCAAAATTCAAGACTGTCTTGCGTCAAGGTGTGATTCAAACTGGTGCGTGTGGTTCAGTTTAGTGCAAACTTCAAGGATCTTCAAGGACCACTTAAGGTCGGCCAATGGCTTCGCATGTGCATGGGGATGCAGCACAAACCCAGCAGTCACCGGCAAGACTCGAGCATAAAGCGTTGCCGCGCTCTTTTGGCCTACGCTAATCATGAATTCAAAGCGTGGCGAGAGCGAGCACAGGTCCTAACAAGCTGGGCTTTGCGTCAGAGATGGCTGGCAGAATAGTAATCTTGAGTTTACAGATCTTTCAACTACCAACTTACGCCCGTGAAAGCAGAATGCCAAGCCCGGACAAGCATTCAAACATGCAAGCGGTAGTGCTGTGCAACAGCCAGAGTAAGCTTCCTCGAGGCTGTCCGACAGCTTCTACTCGAGCACTTAATGCAGAGCAGTGAGCTGACTAATCATGGGCACACGCCTCCGTCCTTGGGTCCTTTGGACGCAAGGACTGAAGCTATTCAGGCTTCGGTTGGCCAGGCAAATGATAGCACCTTCACACAGGCAAAATTTGCAAAGCACAAAGACTGCCACGCTGCTGGCAGAAATCTGCATTAACTGCCGCAACAAGGCGCCAATGGCATAACAATTTGGGCGCTGCTTCATTGGAAGTAAGCGCCATCTTCATCACCTGATACTGCTTCTTCGTCATCTACCATCTGCAGCGGTGGGAAAGCATTTGACTGCACAAATGTGGGCAGCACCCCAGTGCACTCTGATGTGCATGTGAGATCCGAATCTTGCAGGCTGCTCAACCTGAAAAGATGACATACCCTTGGGGTCAACGCAGCGAATGTTGACGTCAGACAAGGCTGCTTAAGGCAAAGGCCCACTGAGTGGGAGCTTGTGCTTTGCACCTTAAAGGACTCCAAGCAAGTGCTTCGGATTGTTTGATTTGATTTGATTTGCAGCCTGGAAATCTGACCGTTGGCTCAGCATGCTCAGCTGCGAGCCACTCGATCTTGCGGAAACCAACGCTGGCCGACTTCAAGTCTTCCGACATCAAGCCCGCCTTGGAATGGGAAGACGTTCAAAGATATGCCACCCCTGAATCCTCGATCATCCTTTTACCACGTGTGAATACACATGGCTAGCCAATGACCAAGGAAGAGCGATTGTGCACATTGCTGCACATTCAGCTCGCAGGATGCAGACTTCTGTACTTTGGGCATCGCACGAGAATCGCTAGAACATCATCCATGTCCTCATCGCTGCCGGCAAACACGCCAGGAACAATGGTGCCCCATGTCCTTGAAAACACTGACTGCCCAGGCGGTTCTGAAAAGGCTTCGTAAGACGCACTCCCGCACTCCAAGGCTTCGGCAGTTGGCGGCGCCCGAGCTCGTGGGCCGTTCCACAGGCCGCCTTCAAGTCCACAAGGAGGCTCACGGCCAGGCCCTCCAGACATTGGGAGAAGCCGCTTTTGGGCATTTTAGGGTTCACTAAGGATCGACATGGGAATCTGCGGAAGACTTTTTTGCGTTGGTGCCTGGAGCTGCTCCGCTCGCTGCGCTGCCTTGCGCTCCGCCAGCGTGACAACCTCGCTGATTGAAAAAAGGAACCTGTCCTCTGACAGCAAGAACTCCGTGGCCCCAAGCCATTTTGGGGAGGCTTGGGTGTTGGAGCCTGAGCGCGTGGAAAGAGATGCCCAAAACAGGCAAACTAACATTCACAGAGACAAGCTTGGCAACACACCACCTGCCACAGGGTGTTGTTCTAGGGAGGTCTACCTAATTGTGTCTGCCTCTAGGATGTGTCGCTGCTTGTGCAAACACTGCTGCCTATGGTTTCTGCCAAGTCTTTGTATGAACGCTTGTTTTGATACACGGACGCATCAGAGCCTTCATGACATGAACATGCTACGTCTGCTACGTGAATCAAACGTGATGTCATGCCCCAAATTCAATCTCAGCTTCGAGGCAATCCGGCAATCCAAGCAGAGTGTGGTCCCGAGGCTGCCTGCTAGTCGGCCATCGCTGAACTGCGCTCTTTTTGACGTGCGCGCGGTTTGCTTAGCCTAGGGATAGGTCGGAACGTGGCTTGGCTGCAAGGCAGGTTTGGAGTCTGAGACTTGGTGTGTTTTGCTCAGTAGCCTTATCACAGACAAGACGACGCCCAAGTCGAGGCTCCATCGACTGATGAGCCCATGCGAGCACTGGCGTTAAATCCTTCTCTACGAGGTTGCTATCCTTGTCTGCGCTGAAGGCACATAGTATCTCTTCATTGTGTTCAAGCACGCTAGACTTTAAAGCCAGAGCTCATGTGGTGATACCTTTCGCGCATGCCTGCATAGCCAGCACCTACACTTTTGAGGCTCTGCAGGCACAGACTGCCTAAGTTCGGATCTCCTCGAAGCTGGCAAGTGAATCCGAGGAAAATTTCACCGGCGACAGAGCAAAGCAGCAGGAAAGCTTCGAAGGGGGTGCAAGTGCCCCGAGTAAGCTCACAGTCAGCTGGCACGCACTTGCTTTGCTGTGTATGGATTGTGGCCTGTTTCCGGCTCTCAGAATGAAACTCTACATGCTTTCCAGCAGGGAGTTTAAGGCCTCAGTTGAAATCAGGTCAAATCTGAATGTCTTTAACCACGTCACTGTTGGTGAACGACCTGGTGTGTTCAGGTCAGGACCGTGGTCTCATCGTAGCCATGCTTCTCAAGAGCGGACCTAAAGGCGTGCATAGGCAGAACCACATCAGCCTTGGCCTCTGGCCAGCGGGGGTCCACGCTCCAACCTCAAAATCCACCGAGTGGGCTAGGGCCGTAATGCAGGTTCCCCGGTGGGGGAGGGGTGGGCTGCTCTGTGCTCTCACCCCTCGACAACCTTTGCCGAGGCGGTCTCGCGTTAGCGGTTAAATTAATCTGAAGCCCCTCGCATTTGTTGCTGTGGCAACCTCTCTTCTGGCAGGTGAAGCAGACGGGCAGCATGACAGGTTTTAAGCATTTACTGCGTTGCCGACCCTCTCTCCGCGGAACTTTTCAGGCCAACTTCGAGCCCTTGCACTTACACTTACACAGTAGGCCTACTGCTGGCAAGCATGCTACTGGTACAAGCTGCCCATGCATCGTCCTGCCAGCCGTTTGCCAGGCAAGGCGCACGCTCTCCAGCATGTACAGTCATCCTCTGAGGCAGGTCTGCTGAGATCCCTGCTTGGCCTGCTCCTGTGTAAATCCCATGTCGACGATTTTTTGCACCTGCAACAAAGTGGTGCTTCAAGAGATCTAACGGCAGAAAGCTACGTTAGCCGAGCCTTCTCGTCGTTGGAAGACTTCTGCTCGCAGGCGAAGGTCTCCGTCCAGTATTTGGCAGTCTGCAAACGCAGAAGGCCATTCCGATCAAGGGATTGTTGGTCAAGCGCTCCGGTTGCCTGGACAAAAAGTTCTCGATTGTGCTTGTACATCTCCGCAACCTGACACAGCTTTGCAGTTGCATGCAGTTGCTGTCAGGAGGCGCGGCCCAGCGCGGCCTCTGCATCTTGAGGGTCATCTGGTTCTGGAGAAGAAAGCAATGCCTGTCTTTCCATGACATCGCGGAGTGCCTTTGAAAACCTGTCGTGCTCCTGAAATACATGGTCCCACGTACACACTCACTCATGCAGGCGCTGTGCCTGAATTGATAGTAACGCTGTTCGAATTGTCAGTGCAGGGCTCCACTCCTGCACATGAGAATCGGGACAGGCTACTGGCTGTTACCAGTCAACTAGACTAACTAGACTTGCTGAGAACTTATTTTTTGCAACTTGTCGGGCAGGCCTTGCCAAGAACGTCAAGGCAGATGGCCCCGGTCTGCACACAAAGATGCCAACTATTGAAGTTCAACCATGTGCACGTGAATGCTTCGGACTGACTGACCTCTGCCAGGCTAGCATAACACTCAGTGCGTGATGCGCTGCCCACCACACAAATGGTCAGAGCTTAGAAGACCACTTTGGGGCGGCAGAAGTAAGTCTTGCTGACTGGCTTTCCTCCGACCAGCCTTTTCAACCAACAGACCTGGAATACTAAATCACAGGCTGCACAAGCATTTTCCCGTCAAAGCTGGAGACATGCCATCTCAACGTCAAAGCTGCGCTCTTTGGGCAGTGCACTTCAGGAGTCAACATGAGACTTCTTGGCGCTCAGAAGTCATCGCTGGCCATTCGTCGAAACCTCGCTGGGGGTGGGACACAGCTTCAACCAAACAGTTAAGCATGATTAAAGGATAGGACCATGAGATTGCCAGCTATCGCCAAATGATCCGCTGTTGCAACGCGCACATTCTTCAATGCTACCCTGCTGATTCAACACATGGCGTGATGAGAACCTGATCTGATGAATACATGCGGGCATGTCAGAAGTACATGCAAGCGAATGAGTTGCAATTAAAGGCCTGCACAGAAAACATGATCAAGCACAATAATTTTCCATCTGCTTTCATAAAGAATGCTACAAGCAGGATACCTGAGCAAAAAAAATGCAGAAAGTATTGTCTCTCAGTTCCAGACGACATTCTCATCAAGCAGCAGCTGTGGTTCAGCCGCCTCTCTGAAAGTCGCGGCACAAAGCTGCAGCAGATGCAGGAGTGGCCTCGCTCTCCTCCAGCACGCCCACCGCATGGTTCACGAAAGTGACACTACCGTGAACCTGCTTCGGGACATTGTGTTTGGGGTTGCATCTCGGTGCATTTTCTCAGCGAGACTTATCATGACTTGCCTTTCTGCGTTTCTTGGAAGCCTCGAACACTGGATTTTTTGCAGCATTTTACGCTCTTCGGGGGCCTCAAACGCTTAAATCTGTGATGTTTGAACTGTTCGGGGCACCGGACAAGGGTTGGGGGGAGCTCATCCGCCCCTGGCGCACCTCTCTCAAGAAACCCAGCAGGAATTGCACATCTCAGCATGAAAATACCATTAGGATAACAGTGACCGACAGTAGCATTGATAGTAATGCTGAGTACTAGTCGCTACAACATTTTAATCGCTGAAATGCAGCGGTGTTATTCAACTGTTTTCGAAAAGGAAAATCGAACTGTTGAAAATTTGCGCTTTGGAGTTTCTTGGAATTGTCGATGTTTGGCATTGTTTGTTCAGAACCTGGAAAGTGACCTGTCTTGGGTTTATGGTTTGAATGTTCGATTGCTTGAACTTTCTTCATTCTTGAATTCTTGTGTCTTTGACATTCAGGTTTCTTCAACTGCTAAATTATTGATTTTTGTTTGTTCGGTTTTGTTGAACTGACGTGCAACACGCCGGCCTAAAAACAACAGCAGTAGTAAAAATGCCAGTGATACTCCACCAGAATGCTGGCAGTGGCTGCAGGAATAACATCAGTGACTGTGATGGCAACCCAAACAAAAGTTGCAACAGCAATAGCAGCATTAGTTGTCATACGGCGGCTACTGACAGCAGTGGTAGTAACAACAGCACTGATGGCATGGATAATGAAGGTAACAGTCGTAATAAGAGCAATAACAAGAGTAACAGCACTACTGCTGAAGCATCACAGGCCAGAATGATGATTAATCGCAGTAATGGTCATACTGGCGATCATCCTGGCAGTCGCGATAACAATGATAAGAAGTATGATTCGATAACAATATAAACAAGACGCAAACTACAAGCACGCGATGCTAGTAGCACTCCAGTGACCATGGTACTACTAGCCATAACACTTGTAGCTGCAACAGCAATGGTAGTAGCGACACTCATAACAGAAGAATACTGTTCGTTGCAATGAGAGTTCTAAGCGTTATAGAAATGACAGTAGTGATAGCAGCAGGCGTCTAAAATGAGATGATAAACGTGGCAATGATACGAATAAGAATAATGGTAAGAATATTGGAGGAGTAAAAAAATAGTGCTAAATCATAATAAGACTGATACTCATGCTAGGAGCAATAACACTGAGGGTAACATCTTTAGAAATACTACTACATCTGATTAGTGACAATTGTGAACATAGTAGCTATGGGTTTAGCAACAATAATAAGAAGAAGCAAAGAACACAAAGAAAGACGCAGAAAGCCCAAACAACAGAAAGCTGGCAGGAAGAAACAAGTAGAGAGCGATGGTCGAGAATGCAAGGCAGAAAGCAGCAGCAGATCAGACCCGCCTGACACGTGCGAATGGAGGAGTGACCATAAGCCTGCAACAGACATTGAACAGCAAGGACCGCGGAGCGAAGCCCGGGATGCTGACGTGTCCAGAGCTTCGAACTCGTCTCAGCTGGTCCTGGTGCATGGGGCGTCATGGAGTCACTCGTGCCAGAAGCAATGCTTTCGGTGCCTCGATCTCTTCGCAGCCCATCGCTTGGGCCTGCTTGCCTGGTCGCAGCTGTTATATACTCCTAACCTCATTCCGAGCAGAAACGTGGTTTTGGCTGAACATGCCTAAACCATCAAACGGTAGAGTTGTCAGCGGGACAAAGTGGGAGAAGGTCAGGACCTTCGCTGGATCTTCGTGTGAAGGTGATGCTAGCAAGTGCAGTGTGCAGGGCTCTGCGACTCCGGGAGGCAGGCTGTGCCCTGCAAAGGCTTCAGGAAAGCCTGGGCGCTCAGTTTTTGGCCCATCGCTCGCAAGGCAGTTCCGAACAGCCTCGTTCAACTTCAGCATCCACCTAATGCGACATCAAAGCAGCCAACATCGCGCAAATGAATTGCCAAATGAACCTGCGCTGCATGCTCGGGTCGACGCTTCCACAGCTGGCTGGGATCGAGAGGCCACACCTCATCTCGACTGCCCAGCACATGTGTGTCCACATCCAAACCAATCTGTCTGCAGAGTGGCCTTGCATGCCTTGCAGCGCAAGCAAAATGAGCTGCAGGCACATTGAGTATCAAAGCCATGGTTTGGATCAGGACCTAGGGTACAGGACATTGGACATGATGAAAAGCTGCCCCTTCGTAATGCTGGCATGACGGTGCTCAAGGCTGCAACGACTCTTCTTGTCGAATTCCGAACAGTACCAGGAGTAGAGTGGCACCACATAGACGTCCTGAAAACTGCCGAGCTCTGCTGACCACCAAGATGCAAAGGCTGTTGTTCAAATCTCTCCTGGCAGATGGCCGCGGGGAACATATCCACCTTGGCGCCGGAATCTCATGGTCGAATCCCTCATGGTCGAATCCCGTGGGCTCATCAATGTCTCTGCCCAGGCGTCAGCACCCCAATCTCGTCGCAGGCAGTCATCAAACCCAGGAGTTTTGCAATGGAATCCGGAAAGCGAGCCGTCCGAACCTGAACACACGCGGCAAAGCGAATTATTTGCTGTTGATCTAACTCAGTAACGCAGCAGTGTCTAGCGTACCCACAAGCCTCGCTTGCATTAAGAGCAAGATCACGATTGCCCGGCACATAGAAAACTCGACGAAACTTGGATCGCAAGACCTTGGCTGACTGTTGGGAAGGTCAGGAGTGCGCTCCAAATCTGCCCAGTCGCACCTGGAGCCCTCTGATGATGTTGTGCATCGTGTCAGCCTCAGCCCCTAAGGCCCTAAGGTGCAGAGTTAAGAGAGTATGAAGACAAGATAAGCGAACTGGGCTCGCATGCCACGTTGCCAGCAACAATGAGTACGTCGTCCTGAAAAATCAATCAAATAATATCAAGTGCACTCCCAAGATCCTGGCATTTGTGTCATGGCCATGAGACCTGAAACTTGACATCGTCGAGTGCATTGCACCACCTTGTTGCAATGCCGCCGTCGGCGTGATGAGCTTCATCACGCGTGCAGGCTCTTCATGCGCAGATCTGATCTTGCACCAGCTGAGATGCCAACTCAGCATTGCTTTTGTTGTCAAAGTGCAAGTCGGAGACAACCCTGACCTTGCTTTCAGGCTCGAACATGTTGGGTCAATATTGGTCATGATGAGCAACATCCCCCACACCTTCGTTGAGGCTCGTGGGCGAATGCGGTCTTTCTCAAGCCGGCATCTTTGGTCTGCCTGGGCCCAAGGCAGTCAGCTCGTGTGGTTCTGTGTGGTCCTGCAAGCAGGATCACACTTCCGATACGGAAGTTGTCTGAGAGGCGAACCTTTCGGTGCCTCCATTTTGGGATAGCAGTCAAACAAGCCTCAGGGTCATCTCAATGTGCTCGGCATTAGCATGGGGAGGCAGGCACCTCGAGTCCTTGTCGAGCCACAGCACAGTGGCTGTCAAATGCCTAGGTTCTTTCCACGAAGCATCTGCGAAAACAAATCTCCAACTTGAGATTCCGGGCCAGTGCCCAGGCAAACTGAACATACGCATCCTCCAGGAGCGCATCTGCTTCAGAAGTCTATTTTGGGAACTTTCAGGGCAAACACCTCCGGTCGGCCGGCTCCCAGAAGGGCGACGCCGAGGCGACATCTGGCCTCCAAGCATTGCACTTCGGATCTGTCTGCAGACTTGGTTCAAATGAAGGAGCCACGACAATCTATGCGTCCACCCACTTTGCTCGTGCTATGCCACGGAAGTATTCCGAGTTCATTCTCTATGATTGTGTTCCAGGGGTGTTTGATTGTAACCCTAAACCTTAAACCCTAAACTGCCCTATCTCCATGATGCTTTGGAAGAGTTCTGATTTCGTCACGAGCAGCGCTCCTTCGGCCATTCGCGCTGTAACTGAGTGGCCATCTGCGCATCCTGTACAGCCTGCAGGCGCTCGTTTGTGGGGCCCATCCACGCCATCACACAAGGCCCCAGGCAGCATCCCAGCACCTCAGGTGACAGAGCCTCGCAAGTCAAATAAAGTGGAAAATATCAATCTTACTCTGAATTGGCTCAGGTTGGGACGCTGCTGCCCTGTTCGCATACAGGGCCTGAGGCTGAGCAACTACCGGCCAACAAAGCAGCACCAGCTTGAAGTTTGCCAGAAGCATCACAAATGCCAATGCAGAATTTGCCTTGAAGGTGTCAGAATTCCTTCAAGGGGCCCTGCTTAGCCTCCTCCTACCTTTGCGCCCCTCTCTGTGATGCAACATTGTGCGCAAGCCTCCCATTTCCCTTGATTCCAGGCTCTCAAAACTAAAATGCCTGATGCCAAACTTGTTCTTTGCAGAAGCAGATCATGCTCATCGGCTGCGCGGCTTAAAAGTGAAATTGGGCACCGCAGCCACACTCCGGCGGTATAATCTGGGAATGCGTATTTGCCCAAGCGGTGGGGACAGGAGGGTGCGACGAGGCAGCGCATTTCCAACAACGAGGGTTGCGTTCTCGCACTTCACGGACACCTTGATGTTGATTCGTATGGATGCTTTTAAAGGTCACCCGAAGCAGGAGATCTGAAAGGCACTCGAATTCAAGACTTAAGCACTAAGTGAGGTCAGGGACTCCAACAATACACTCCAGTTGGACTCTGTAGAGTAGGGACATTCTGGTTGGCACTTCAGGGACACACCGCCGGGCTTAGTTGCAGGGCCCTCGTGGGTAAGCACTCCATCAAAACGTTCTGCGATTGGGGAGTCGGGACCGTGATTCTCACGGGCGTAACGCTCTAGCTGACTGCTGGGAGACACTCTCGCTTCGGCAAGCCACAATGCTGGAGATGGTTGGACTTTTCAGGGTTCCCCAATTTGCTGTTGGGCTCCGCAATAGAACATTGTTATGCTTGTTCTTGTTGTTTTTCCCTGTAGATTCGTTAAATACAACAACGCCACACGAAGCTGTCCTGTAGGGCCGTTTTGCATGGTCAGAAGAGACGGACGCTCGCTCCTGAACCCTTTAATGGGCTGGGTTACCCTGGACAAGCCCAAATCCGCGCACTGCCATCATGAATGCGGGTCGAGAATGTACATGCATATCGGAGTCCTTCCCCTGCCGCTGATTTTTGGCTTCCTCCCAGCCACCCACAATACAAGTAGCATGATGAGTGCAATCTGGCTCTGAATCCCGTCGTTTTAGCCTGAGGCGAAATCAAACGAACGTGAGGGATACGATACCTACAGGAAAGCCCAAAAATGCAACAGGGAAACCCCCAGTCACAGTGCTCATGTGCGTTGTCTAGGGTTTACAAGGGTTTTCGCGGTCGATTCTCATAGTTTTTTTTTGGAACCTGCACTGCGCTGAGCATCTAACAGAATCTGATGCGCAGAGGCTTTCACCAGCTTGGCTGACAGGGCAAAAGCACAACACAATTTTGGATCTCTGCTGCTTTGCTAGCCCCAAGAATGATTTGGGGTAATCGGTCACTGATTAAGGTTTGCTCTTGTTCAACAACAGAGCTTGACAGGAAGGAAGGCTAAACAGGCTCCACCGCGCAGAGCTGAGCAAAGCGCTGCTAAATTCAAAACATCGTCAGACGACGTGGCCTGCCAGCTGCGCACCCTCCGCAGTGACACAATGAATCATGGTCAAAAATATACGCCAGTCTCTGCGTACTTCCGCTGCCTGCTGTACTTTCTTGGCAGCTTCCCGAAAACTTTCCTCGGCATTGATCCGGCTCTCTGCGTCTAGGAGCTCCTTCGGCGACCCTTCACATCCCGTCAACGTTAAGCTGATAACCAAGGTGCGCGCAGCATGTCAGCAATCTCAGCAGTCCTGCTCCCTTCGTGCGAGAGCCTTGGTGCTGCAAATGTTTGCATTTCTTTCAGCCAAATTTGACGCTAACGTACCTCCATCTCTGCAATTGGCAGCTTTGCCTCGGTTCTTTTGTGGCATGGGCAACTGATTTTGGCCGCTGCCATCTTCACGCAATGCGGGTCCTACAACTCTGTGTCTATGGTAAAGTTAGCAGATGAATGTGAACAGCATATTTCCCCTCCAGACTTGAAAGAAGCTCCCGCCACTACATCCACTACCTGCACTGCAGCAGTGCTTCCTGGTGCCCAGAGACTCCTCAGAATTGCTCATACGAGTACTGCTAGGCTAGCTTGGCCGGCTTAGCCCTTGGATGAGGTTTACTCGAGTCACTCGATGCGTTGCCAGCGCCACGGTGTAGCAGGCAGCAGCCTGACCTTTCACTCAGGCACTCTTGCCGACTCTTGCCGACTCTTGCCCAACAAGCCAATCGTGACTTGAAGGCAGGCTGTGCTCGCGACCGTAGTTCTGGGAAGCCCATAGGGCATTGCCCTGTGAAAACTCCTACAAGTAGCTCTAAAAAATCCATTTGCCAGGTGGACCTTACACCATGCAGTTCGTCCTCTGCTTGTCGGCCTGCAAAGAATTCCACGGCAACCTCAAGCGTGCGACGGCTGCTAGGGAAGAAGAGCAACGAAAGGAGCTAGAGCAAGTTCAAGATGAGCCCGGAAGTGCTAGAGAACCCCGATATTGCGTCATTGTCAAGAAAAACTCGCAAACTTGATGATTGGAAAAGTCAGTTGTCGCATGTTGTCGCTTCACTACAAGATGGAGAGCGACTTTGTACAACATAGTAGGCACTCGACATGTGCCAATCCTTCCAAATTGTCCCGGGATGGATCGAGCCTGGAAACAGTACGCGGCACGACCCGTGAAGGGGGAAATCGCTCATGCTTCACGAAAGCATGCTGAGGTCCAACTCAACTGCCTGACGGTAGGCATGGAAGGCCTCCTCCAAGTAGTCCTCCATGCTAGGCAATTCATCCGTAGTCTGGCAGCAGTGGCATCACATTGGCAGTGAAACCAGCATCCCATGAAAAGCAAATAAACATAATGGCATACAGTCCTGGCCAAGGTTTTGGGCTGCGAACCCGACCCTTGCCCAAGTCCTCAACAGCAGAAAGCCCATGAAGCTAAAAACTTTGCCTACTACAGCTTTTCCATGCCAACATGCAGTGATTTCTTCTAAGCTGCCCTGTTGAATGTGCTGGATTGGTTTACAAGAACCGGACCTGCCCCAGTCGGGTCGAAGCGCCTCGGTAAAGCGAACGCTGAAGATGCGGAAGCTTCCTATCAGCTTCCTTGTATCCTTTCAGCTCACGGGCTTCGTCGCCTTGGCAGCTCGGGCGTCTTCAAGCGATCCGAGAAAGTCTCCGACCTCTCGCGGGTGCAGTGCAGGGGAACAAGTCAAAAGGCCAGTGAATAATCCTTCGGCCTTCGCGAAACACGCAGCTCGGTTGGACAATGCGATGGCCTGTAGGGCGATTTACAGATGCATCCACTGCATGACAGCAGGAGGAAGGACGAATCCTGGTCTGGATCCTCACCCATGTCGACCATCCATCTTGCACGAATGATCAGAAGCACGCGCTGCAGAGCATGGAAGTTGTCGAGATCCGAACCGGGTGTAGTAATGAGCTGCCAGCCAAAAGTCGCTGCGCCTGAACAGAATGCCGATCGAAGAGACTAAATCATCTAGGTGACTCTCCTGCCTGAAAGACTTAGCCCCTAATCTTCTCCATGGTGCGCTTCCAGTGGCCTTACTGGCCTCAGCTCTTGAAAGGATGCACCTTGCCCAAAGCGTCAGCATGGGAACGTGAGTTTCCCACTGCTGTAGTAGCAGCAGCGGCAAAGTCTGCGATGCAGAGTGGCTTGTGCAGTCTGGCCTTGCGCGCAGCAAGTAAGACTGTGTCAGGATAGCGAGCCTTTGAAGAGCCGTCATAAGCAACATCTTATGGACACAAGCGCAGGCTCGGCCACTGCTGCAGCATGAAAGCGCAGTATCGCGCACACTGACTGGAAATGACAGGGCGCTCGCCGTCGGCATCAACTGAAAAATGCTGGCCCTTAGGCTCCATAGTTAAGCAGTGTTATGCATTGTCTTGTACTGCCCTGCAGCTCCCAACCCCAAGTCAGACACAATCACTGCCAAGAAGCTCCAGAACTGGCAGAAGACTTTCTTCAAGTTGCTGCCAGTCGTTTCCGGCCTTCCGCTGCATGACGCCACCAGCAGCTGTGCCCGGAAAGCTCGGCCTCTGGAGCAGCACAAGCTGCCGATGCCAAACCTTTGTTTCACAGTCAGCCTGCTTTTTGCGCCGGCTAGGCCGGCAGCCTTGCCACTTTCACGCCCGGTAGGCGCCCGGCAAATCGCAAAAACTGGGGGAGAACTTGCTGACCCTGCCATCAAGCATCACGAGCGAGCAGAGTCATTGGCTCCCTTCAATGAGTTTCGCTGAATGCGGAATGTATCACCGGAATGCTTGCAATGCGAATTCAAGCATGCTCCATGCCTGGATCCTGCTCCTCAGTCACCTCGTCCAGATTGGAAAAGAAGGTTATGCCTGAATCACTAGGAAGCGCGATGACCGTTCGACCCACGCACATCCCCTGACAAGGAGGGTCATGCAGCAAAACCTACCGTCTTGGTCACAGGCTGCTGTGCGGTTTTGTGAAAAGTGGCATGACCTTAATACTGGAATCAGAGGACAAAGGCGCACGACATGAGATCACCGTTGGCCTGGCCTCGCCCATTGGGCGAAGCTGCACTGGCACTTCCGTCCTGCACCTCTGCAGCGCAGGAACATCCCCTGCAAAGCTGGTTACCACCTCATTACAACCGCTATCATGAACCCATGGCCACGACACGACTACGCCTGGGACCACCACCTCGATGAAGACCGCAAGCACGCTCACGACCACGAGCAGCAGCAGCAGCAGCAGCAGCAGCAGCAGGAGCAGTACCACCACCACCACCACCACCACCACCACCACCACCACCACGAGGACCACCACCACCACCACCACCACCACCACCACCACCAGCAGCAGCAGCAGCAGCAGCACCACCACCATTGCATGGTTGATGAGCACACCGGCTCTTTCACGCTGTTTGCTTTACTTCCGTCTGAGATCCGTGCGGCTTGGGTCTGCACCGATCGTGTTGAAGCCCATGCTGGCTTCCTGCTATCGCATTTGTTCTCCATGTGTCCCAGTTTTGGGGTCTGTGCTTCCTCCGGGCTCACTGCTTGGATTAGGCGCATAGAGTACTCACGTCCGGCCTTGTGCATTCTGCTTGTGATGGAAGTCCGGCGCGGCTTCACTCAAGCTTCCAGCAGCTAGACGGTGCCTGCACTGCGACGCTGCGACGCACGCTCTGAGCGTTTCGGGCAGAAAGCAGAAAGCTGTGGAAAGCAGAAGGGAAGGGTTTGTCCCACTGCGTGGCCTCCGCAAAAAGTCTGTGAGGCTCGGTTGGCCAACCGAGCCGAGGCCCAGCTGTAGGAGCTTCACCTCCAAAGGCTTAGCGGCTAAAGGCGAAGGTTCCATTCCCTTCCAAGGCACAGGGGAGCTTGGTCTTGAGGCTTCTTCCCTTGCAACTCTGAGGTCGTCACTGACTTTGCGATCAAAGCCCACTCGCCAGGAATTGCTTGCAAAGCAGCTCCAATCTCAGTCATGGGAGCGTGAAGCTATGTAGATGTCCTCACATGTCCTAACTTAATGCCCTTCCGGATCATCCTGCATCTGAGGCTTCTACTGCCTTCCGGATGGATTCTGGATCTGTGGCAACCTGCGCTGCTTTCGCAACTGGTGCCAATCTGGCCCACAGCGACTCGCCTGGCTGATAGGACCCAGGAAGCAGGAGAAGAGCTGCGCTGGGCAACCCTCTGCAACTTGGGCTGTGGCCATCTGAGCCATTGTCCGGCGCCTGGCAGTTTTGAAAGCTTCAGTGCGCATGAAGAAAAACCAAGCCTTCGTGAGGCCTCACTGGCAGCCATCATGTCCTGCGTAAGAGCACAAGCACGAAACAGAGATGCCAAATGCCTCTAAGACGAGGCAGGCTCCTTCAGAAACTGCCTTGCATTCTCTTCCGAGAAGCTTCCCGAAGTCTCTGGTGCTCCTGACATGCTGAAGTGAGAGGAGCCGCCATAGCATGTGGACAAGCATGTTGTGAGATACTGAGACTCTGACTGAAACAGCAGGCGACTTTGAAGCATCCATTGTCATCCATGCCCTCTCCGCGTACGGCTATGCGTAACCTTATCAGCCGCTCACTCCAAGGTGGATCGAGGGCGCAGGTTTTTTGTTAAGAGTCTGAGTGTATGGCCTGGCTACTGTGGAAGGTGCATGGCTCCTTTCCAAATCGGCACAGCCATTTTCCGATCCGGAATACTGTTGGGTTCTCCTCCAGCTGCCATGGAAAGGATTCCTTCCCCAGACCAGGAACCTGTTTGGAGGATCTTGGAGGCTGCGGATTCCAAAGCAGCAAGAATCCAATCTGCTAAAGACCTGCGCCCTCGAAGCCCAGAGATCTGGGCCGTGAAATAAGCCTGCACAGTGTCGAGGGCATCACTGCTCTGCCTGATTCGAGAGCTACATGCTGAAATCGCACCTCAGCAAGCGACCCAGCTGCAAGCGTGATGTCCTTGCGGGCAGCATGACATGGGTTGCCCCATCCAAGCATGTCAAGATATAAAGCTAGCTTGAGAGCGCATGGCTTTTTTCAAGGGTTTCGTGACCCTATCCTCCTGCCGCAGAAGGTCACAATCCTTTCTGGTGACTACTGGGTGCGACCGGCAAGTTGCACCTCAGCACTGGACCGCGCGAAGCAATCTGCAGCAATACCCTGGCAATACTGTGAGTTCGCAACACGTTTAGTCTTAGGGCTCCCACAGAACTTCACAGTGTCTGGTCTGGCATCGGGATTGTGGTCCCCTTGCTCCTGCAAAGCTGCAGAGCTGCGATTCCCACCCTTTTGTCGGGCTCCGTTTGCTCCTTGAAGGCCACCTCGAAAGGCTCCTTGGCCCCTCGTGGAATGTGGAATCTGTACACGTGTTCCTGCCAGACAAATCAAGACGTCACCAAGCTTGAAACCTAGTATGCCAAAACTTCCTGGTTGATCATGCCCGCGTAGAAATCTTTGACGCGTCTCTCTCGGGGAATGGCCTGAGGGCACGTGACCTAATCTCCAGTTGACAGATCAGCCTCAAATGTGAGCAACATGCGTTGGGAGAGCATGCCTTGTAGGTTCCGTAGAAGAACTGCTCCAGCCTGTGTGAGCTGAAGCTAGAATGGAAGCAGAACTCATCTGTGGATTGGTTCGGCTGAGTTCGTGACTCTATTTCGACTGGAACCTCAACTACCTTGCCAGGCGGCCTGGCACACATTTCCAACCAACGTGTGTTTGATTTCCGCATGACCTGATGGCACAACATCTCGTGCAAACTCCGCTAGCCCCTGCGGGGCATGTTGACATGGACGGGCTTGGTCAAAGAATATGGATTGCCTAGTCCGGCGTCATCTCATCAGTGTTCCCAACCCGCAGGCAATTTACTTCATCTTCCCTTTGAAGTATCTAGCTTCAGCGATCGTGAACTTGTAACACTGCTGACCCCCTGGCACGAATGGGCCCAGGACCACCTCCCTTATTGACACGCACCACTACAAGTCCCTTAACATTTCCCGTTTGACTTGCTTGGTCCCATTAATTCAGAGAGTTGCTACTTGCCGCGCTTCACCCACTGTCGACTTTTTGTCTAAACCCAGAACGAAACCACAATGGCAGCACAAGTGTCTGTTACTCTCCTGTCTTCGGCACACTACACACATGGGACCTCTGCATCTCGCTGATGCGTTTCAAAACCTGAAAGGTCGTAAGCAGCGTGTTGCCAACCAAATAGCAAAACGAGATGGCCGACGAGTACGAGAAACTGCTTGTGTTACAGTCCCACCTCCGTGAGATCGACATGCTGTGACGAAGGAGCCTCGCAACTACGGAGAGAAGATGTCTAGATGTTGACCAGACTACAGGCTACAAGACAAATCCGCATAGGGTTGGAGCTCGATACTGTCGATTACAAGTGCCGGCAAGGTGTGCTGGCAAGGTACTTGAGACAGCAGCTGACTACAGCAGATCGTCACAGATTAACAAAGTGCTGTGTGAGAGCATGTTGCCGGTAGGCTTGCCTTCACTCCACTGACGACCTCCTTAGCCTTGTCTTGATCGCGGTCCTGCAGCACAAGGCAAAGCTAGCGAAGTGAAACAAGGCCCTTCTCGGTGCAAGCGGCCTTGTCATACTGCCTTCGAGTAGGCTGATCCCCTGTCAGCATGAGCACAAGATAGCTATGACGTATGACCGCACTCTATTCTGATGCGAAGCAGGTGAGGAAGGGGAGAAGCTGCAGCGGCCTAGCACCAAGTGAGCATTCTTCACTGAGATGAAGATGGTAGCATAGTCCTCCAGGCTCTGAACATCTGCCAGCTGGCTACTCGTTGAGACAGAGTCATCAGAGCAGACCCGCAGCCTAAGTCGCTACAGTGGGGGTTGGGGGCAGGGAAGCAAAAAAACAGTTGTGCGGTTAGTTGTGCGGTTGCGATGCTGTGAGTGTAGGCATGCCACGTGACGTCTGACATGTCTTCTACTTGATGCATACACTTGCAGCAGCTTGCAACAGCTGTCCTCTTGCTGTTGAGCAGTCATTCCCTTCGTCTTGTCAGGATGATAGACCTGAGCTAGTCGACCCATGGCATCTGTATGAGGCCACCATCTAGTGCCAAGCTTCCGGCCAGGGAGAGGCGCTTGTAGGCGCGGTTGACTTCGTCCAGAGGGGCGTACTCATCTATCCCAAGAATCTTGCGGGCGCAGCGGCGCAGCTCCCTCCGATGTCACTGACTGCAGCTTCTCCCTACGTGCCTCATAGTAGTTGACGCTTCGATCGTAGTCATAGGCTTTCGCTGCAGCGAAGTCGGCCTAATACGTAACGTGGGCACGAGTTTCTTGCTTGTAAGCAGTCGTGGAGCCGGCGTCATCTGGTGTGAAGGACTGATCTAGCGTGACCCGCTTCTTGTCCTTGCAGTAGAGCTGTAAAGCCCTTGCCACTGTAACGGCTTCAAAAGCACCCAACCAGAGCTTCCGGCACGTTCTTCGGTGTACTCCTTCAACAGCTCTTCAAGGCGCAACTGTGCCTGAAAGACCGTTCAACAGCTTGAAACGACTTTACGCCACAAAGAGGCGGTTTGGCCTGAAACGCTTTGCTCTGCTTCAGCTGCTTCCTTCCAGGACTATGACTGCATGAACCCTGAGGTCTCAGAAGGTGACCCTGATTGTGGCAGTCTGAGCTTGGTACTGCTGCTCCTTACCGGACAACATACAGTCGATGCAGTCTGTGCAGCTGTCACTGGAGCTGGCTTTGTGCCTCGGTGAGCTTTGAAGATCCGGCCCGGTCACCCAGGCGTGCAATGGACTCCTCAACCGAAAATGCAGATCAAGTTTCCATCACAAGTGTGGAAGCAAAGCTGCGACACTCCGGCCTGAGAAAAACTAAAGTCGCCGTCGAAAGATGCAAGAGCCATGTTGCATCAGGTGATGGACATGGAAAATTTGTGTTGGGTACACAGAGTGCCTGCCCAAGCCTCCCCAAAACTGAACACACCATCACTAAGCATGTCAGAACTTGGTGCACATGCGCAAAGTCTTCTGACCTTCCAGCACATTGCTTGTTGGGAGGGATAATGCCGACATGCTCAGCCTATTTGCAAAAGCCTCCAGCCGAAACGCAGCCACGCGTTCCAAGTGCAGCAAGTCAAAGGTTTAGAACTCGACCTTCGAATTCGCTGACCAAGCGCCTGCGAAGAGATATTCGGATGCCAGATCTTTGTATCAAACTTCATCTTCGGCGGATTGTACCTGATTTGTAGGTGTGCTGAGGGTTTTGAAATTTTTGCTCGGTAACCGGGCCGAGGCCGAAGCGGGTATTCTGCTGGAATCTCAATGTCAATGTCAAAAAGTCCACCTGAGTACCTGTTTACTCATGGGCCAACAGGCGGCTGATGTCTTTAAGGAAAACAACGCAGAACGCAATCTTCGGGCACGGTGTCCCTTCAGGGCCTTTTAGCCAAGCCTTCCAGTGCGTGAGATCGTTGTCGACCTTGCAGCAGGGGGCATCGCATTGCATGTCAGGATCAGAGATCAAAAAAATCGTATCTCTGAGGGTGGCGCTGAGTCAGCAGAGACCTGGGCCTCTTTCCCATCTTTAGCAAGGGCACGAATATCCTGGAAAGAGCGGTCAAGAATGCCAAGCGTGCATGCCGAGCTCGAATTCAGAGTTTCGGACAATTCTGAACAATTCAATCCGTTCAGCCTAGTTTTAAGTAGGCCTTTGCCACAAAACGTACTTCACCTTGCTTGCTTTCTCTGGTCGTACTGCAAATGCTTGTGCTTTCGCCAATCCGCATCTGCGCAATCCCAACCAAAGACCAGTGCCCAACGTTGCCTGAAGCAAGCGGCAGGCTTTCCTACCGTTTGTCAGCCGCCCACGCAAACAAAAGTTCCGCAGAAGGTTCAGTCGTTCCGTACCCGCCCACCCCTCCTTACCACTCCCCCCTGCCGCTCCCAAACAACATGCATGTGGCTTTGTTGCAGCAACATTGGCGCCTGCAATTCCTTCTCCAAGCGCTTTAACTCGCGGGGCCTTGCCTTGATGCAGCGCGCCAAGCAGGAAAGCAAAATGCCGAAAGAAAGTGAAAGATCGAAGCCGCGAACCATGGCGTTGACCTGTGACCCGAGCAGCCTGCAGGGCTTAAATCTGTCCTTTGCGCTGTGCAGGATGCTGGCAGGCCCAGCAGCCGGGCCGGCCTTCACACGCTATCCTGCGTAGGGCCAGAAAAGTATGATCGGAAAAGATTGGGATTGAAAAATCAAGTGGCGTGCCTGGGTGAAGCCACAACGGTTCACACCATTTAGGCTCAGGCCAAACGGGCCGGATACCAACCCTTCTTGAGCCAGCAGTACGGTGTTAACTCATCAGGAGGCCCCAGCAGCACTACCATGTTTATCACAATCGTTGCAACATGCATGATTTGTCATTGCTTTTCATCTGGCTGTCAACCAGCAATGGATCTAGGCGATGCCACGGCCATACACCTGTGGCGAGCATGCGACGCAAGCTCCTGGCCGGGCGGGCAGGAGCTTGCGCTAGTCGATGGTCTTGCACCTGGTGAGACGCGGCTACCTCTGCCGAGTTTGGCTGACATCCAACATCGGGATGCTCGGCAAAATGCACGGGAGCCGCGAAGGGGCTCATCTGTATGTTTTGACAGTGTGCTGGCAAGCACATGTATGCATGTGGCGGAGTAAGTAGCGTGGTCCATGTTACTATTGCACACGATCCACGTTGTTGGGGTGTGTACAATCATGCTTGCTGTTTAAGATTTGGATTCAAGCTTTCAGGTACAAGTTCTCACTTTTGCAGAGTCATGCGAGGATCCGCTTGTTGGGACTTCGCGCAGAGACTCTAGTTCAGCTCAACTCTCAACCAGAAACCAGCTCCGTGCATTGTTTACGTACCTTCGGAGGAGGCATGGAAATTGCGGGGATGCTTGTTGAGCGAGATCTTGCATGGCAGGGCATTTGCAGCCCAGGCGCTGGAAGACTTCTTTGGCATGTGCGGAGGAATTCTTGTCCGGGTGATACTCCACGAGAAGTTCCTGCAAAGTTGTAGCAATGACGGCTACACAGACGGAGTGGTTCTGATAGGTTCTGCAGCAGGAGGCCTTGAAAAGCTTCCTCCTTGCAGCTATCGGTTGGTCCATGGTGTCGTGCAAACGCTTTTCCACGGCCTTGACCTGGCACTGAAGATCCAAGCACAGGGCATGAAGAAAAAACCGTGCTTCTGCAGGCCTCTGGTGACAAGTTTGTTTCTGGCACCGGTGCAGATGCAGGCGCCTACACGAAAAACAGTACGGCTAGCGCAGCAATGCGTCGTGACACATGGTAGCGGAACTTTAGGGCTCCCAGAGGCCTTGCTGCCGCCTCCAGCAGAACCTACCAAGTGGAAGAGATGGAGGGATGGAGTGCAGACATGGGTAGCAATGCGCATGAGCAACTTGCGTAGCAATGCGTAGCAGATGTAGCAGATGGCAAACCGGGCCTTCAGGCGGAGGGCTGGACCGTCTTGAGCGGCCAGCGTTAAAACCCTCTCTGCCTGGATGCACTTTCGGTGAAGGCCCGGTTTTGCTGGTGGGTCGCTGGGCCCATGCAGCGTTTGGGGCTGGTTTGGCTTCCGCACCAGCATCTTTGCCGAGTCGTTCTGCTGCAGCCGCCGCGGAGCGGTAGGCAGTCTCTGCTCGAGCTTTCTCTTCCGCAAAAGGTGAAGAAGCTGTGCTCTTCTCTGCCGTATAGGAATAGGTGGTCGTAGGCTTGGACGAGTCAGGCACCGTTGTACTGATTGGCGTCGACCTCGCTGGCACTCTTCGCGCACCCTCTTTTGGCAGATACGCCTTCAATTTTGTCGCGTTGGAGCGCCAGAGCTTCACAACCCCTATACCAGCAGCAAGAGTGCAGAATACAGTCAAAGAGACCACCAGGATAACAACTCCCACGGCAGTGCTGCTGGCCGTCGTCTGTGTTGAAATCAAACCACCGCCGTCAGTTGCAGCTCGGAAGTTGTACGCCTGTGCGGGGAGGTCCGCAGAGGGGTTGCCAGCCAAGTCCTGCAAACCCAACTCTATCCACAGCAAACAGCTGTTACTGCTGCAAAGATGTCGGCATCAACCATCCTTCTTCTACTACAACTACAGGCACTAACTTCATCTAAGTTCCAAGTGAGCTTTGGATTTCCAGGACGCGCGAAACATGCACAGCCATCATGCGTCATCACGCACCTTCCCCAATCCAAGGCCAGAAAACACAACAAATCTGCGGTGACCAGCATGCACTTGGGACGCCCACCCAAGGGCAGCATGCAACATGCAACTCAAAAACGATGCAGTGACAGAGCCAGTCAGGGTGAAAAACGACCCCAGTTGCGAGGATTGCAACCTGCGCGCTCCAGTGCTAAAAATGCATTCCCGCCGTAGCTAGTCCCTGTCCAAGCAAAGGACAGAACTTGGAAGCCCTCGTGCCATGTTATGCCACTGATATCCAAAGAGATCTGGAAGCGGAGACCTTCTCCCGAAACTTTCAAATCCATGGTGCCGTTTGTGTAGTAAGAAACATTCCCCAGTGCGGTGGATGTCATCTTCAAGAATGGATTTTTCCCATGCGACATGAGAATCCTCCAAACCAAAACGTCATGTGCTGATAAACTGGGTTTCTACCCTCATCACCGTTTGTCTCTTTGCCGGTCCTATGCCACCTTTTGTCTGCTCCCCTTCGCCTCCTCCTACCTCCCTCCTTGTCATCTGTCCCCCAAAAATCCTGGAATTGCGGGATCACGGGATACTGAGTATGCCCACCACACTACGCAGGGCCATCGCCAGTAGCGCCGCCATCGCTACATTAGTTATACCTGCCCCTGCCAATGCCAGCAACATTGCCACCGCCACCGCCACTGCCGCCATCATCACGCCGCCGCCGGCACCAGCACCGCAGCCTCCAACGCCACCGCCGCCACCGCCACCAGCACCATCACCGCCATGCAGGGATTGGTGACCAAGGCTCCGTGACGGCACCGGCAGGGAGCTCCAGCGTGTACGTCTTCCCAGCCCTTGCAGTGTGTGAACAGATCAGCTGCAAGGAATCATCGTTCCAATTTCTGGCAATGAGCTAACTGCAAAATACTGTGGCCAGAGAGCTTTGCAAGATTACCAGCACTTGTTATGTTTTACAGACCTGCATTTAATGGTTTTGTGTGATGGTAGTCCCAGATTCGTCCCTCAGCTGGCTCTGGCACCACTGATGCAACAAGAACAGTAACGGCTGTAGATTCCAGCCTGCTGTACAACAGGATAGGCAGTAGCTGCCCTGCCTCAACAACGAATCCAAATGGATTCGAAGCAGCGATGATGAGACGATCTCAGCTGAGGGAGCCTGGGATGCTCCAATTTCTGATCACTTTTTGATACTCCTCTATTGCGCTCGGTTGCACCTTGAGATCAATCGGCGTCGATTGAACAGCTGTCGTGGCACCAGTGCTGTCAACCTGGCTCTCACTAGCGGAGATCTTATTATGGTGCATCAATCGAGACATGTCAGGCTGGGTGATTTTGTGGTGTTGCTTTGTGCCGCTTTTTGCAGAGGGGTCGGAATGATAACATTTCCGCGGAAATTGTTCAGAATCTGCTATTGTTTGAGGGGGTCGGAATAATAGATAACAAAAACTGTCAGATGCAAAATGTAAAGAGGTAGCTAAGATTCTTACCTAAGTAAGGCTTGCTTTCGAGGCCTTGAAAGAGGGATCTTAATTCCAGAGCTCCAGCACCAAAGCCTTTTCCTATGAGAGCGGAGACACAATCCTAGGATTTGCCATGGAGCCTGCTCCTAGGAGGTTTTGCTATGGAGCCTGCGTGAATTCAGCATATGCATCAGAATACATGCCATATATGAAAGCCCTACTTAGAAGTCTATGCACATAATCCTAGAATTTGCTATGGAGCCTGCGTAAATTCAGCATATGCATAAGCAAATAAAAGCCGTAACCATAAAATGAAAACCCTACAAAGCGATATGCAACAACGCAGGCCCCTTCACAAACCCTTCTATTTCCTATAGGGCCTGATGTTAGAGAATCCGAAAATGCATAAACTCAGAGACCCCAGCTCCATAGAAACCGCTTGTCCGGGATTATACGAAAACATACGAGCCGTGAATTTTCGTGGAGGGTAGTCCAGCGAAGGCCTGGATACTCTTTAAGCAGTTGTTTTTGGTGGCACGTCCACTCGTGGACCCTGCGTTCGTGGGGTTTTTGAGCATGTGCAGCCGCCACCGTGTTCCAAGAGCATATGCTCACCAGAGCATCCATGCCCAGATCATGATAACGTTCGCGCTCCAAGAGCATACGATCACCAGAGCATCCGTGCCCAAACCAGAATAACGTTCGTGTTCCAAGAGCATACGTTCACCAGAGCATCCATGCCCAAACCATAATTCCGTTCGTGTTCCAGGCGCATACGCTCACCCGAGCATCCATGCCCAAGCCATAATAACGTTCGTGTTCCAAGAGCATACGCTCACCAGAGCATCCATGCCCTCTCTTTATGCTTCGAACCTGAAGAAATCCTTGGCAAATGGTATTTCTACCTTTTATACTCCTCCCGAAAGTTTCGTTTTTTTCTACTTTCAAAATGTGCTTTTCGCCGTAGCGAAACCCATTACAAAAAATCGCTCAAAATGTTGACCCGTCTCAGTGTTTTTAGGCCCTCCCCAAAATAAGCCTCTAAACTGCAAATCTGCAAAAACCCAACGTTTTTGCAGATTTCAACTTCCCCAACCACTTTCCCTAGTCAAAAAACCCAGGGTCCACGAACAGACGTGCCACCTTGTTTTTGGATGGTCGGAATAATGATACACTTTTTCAGCACGTAATTTTCACCGGGATAGCTTCATTTTGAATTGATGTCAAATTGATTCCAACTCAAAACCTATTGGTTTTAAACTGTTGTAATTTGAGCTGAATTAGATTTCAATTAATTGGAACCGGAGTTCAATTGATTTTCAATAGAATGTAATATCACTTGTAAAATGATCTTCATTAGATTTTCAATTGGTGTCAACTGATTTAAGTTTTCTTGCAATTGGTTTTAATTGAGTCTTAATTGATTTTGAAGTCGGGGTCGTTGGGTGTCCAATTGAATTCGAGCAGCAAGTTGCAATTAGATTTCAGTTCATCTGGATTAGGCTTGGACTGGCTCTAATAAGATTTACATGCACCTAGTTGGATTTTTAATAACTGCCGAATAGCTTTCAACTGGTTTGATTGCATTTTGCTGATGGCAGTGCCGGCCGCCACTAATACCTACCATCAAGAGGAATACCAGCTTCAAGGCTACGGATTTTAGTTGCGCGGCAAATTTGGGGGTGCCCGGGTATTAAAGAGACTAGTCAATTGTTGAGGGGGGGAGGGGCCTATACAAAAGAGGGTCCAACATTGCTGCAATCGCGGTGTTCGTTTTTGGTGCGGGGTCCCTCTGGTGCGCAGACCATGTCAGAATGGGCGCTTACCACAAATAGCACAATCACTCCCCAAATTTCCCGCTCCCCAAAACGAATCGCTCACATTCTGCACAGACCCCGTCTCGGATTGGTCACTCCTCCCGTCCAGTGTCCACTAACCTTCCGCGGATCACAAACCACCCTTGCGAAACGATCGCTGCCGACAAAACAACATACCAGAACCCAACGTCCAAGAGGCTTGTGAGCAAACACATGATCAAGATGCTGCGCGCGATGTCAAGTCTAGTTGCTGGAACACTGCTGAAACTGAAAGTCTCCGCAAAGCGCGCAGGCCTCAAGTCGACTCAGTGTAGCCCTCAGGTCGCCGGATGTCCTCACTGGATCTCACTGGCCAGGCCAACAGTCATTGAGAAGGGAGGGTTGGTCGCTTGCCCGCGCACGAGCTGCTCTTCGGGGATGGCCCCTGTCTTCCACATTATCCTTTACACTCGCATCATTTTGCGCAAAAGTGCAGCCTGGTGACAACACCACGGGCTCACTCCACAACAAGTTTACAGCGCCATCGAGTGGAACGGCGACCTGAACATTTCTCTCAAGCACATGGGAATCTGTAGGATGCGGCTTGCACCTCCAACTACTCGATAACAGCAGCAAAGCTTTTGATCTGCCGTCAGGCGGCTGACATGCTGTTCGGGTCGAAGTCAATGAGCATCGGAGGGTTCGTGTCCAACAGCTGAAAACTGCAGGTCGATGGCAGCAAGATCATGCTGACAGCAAGCACCCGTGAAAGAAGAGTCTCTCTGCCGGCATCTGAACAGTTTGCGTTGCATCTGTCAGGGAAAATGCTGATCATGCTCTTCCCTGTTCGAACCTTCCTCCTGGTCAAAGCGGCCACCCATTGCTGCACCCATTGGGGACATTACCACCCGCCCTTGGTGGTTTTTCTGGAAAAATGAAACTTCCGTGAAGGAAATCTTCTGGTAGGCCTCTGACAGCACTTGGAACCTGCATGCACCTGGGAGGGCCCCGCGCTTTTGAAACACTTTGTCTCCACATCTCTTGACTCATGGCGATGCCCAGTGATGTGGCGCAGGGCTGTACATTTACAAAGCAACATTGCCAGCGCCGTCCTTGTTTCCTGCGCGGTCTGCGCGTGATATGCTGTTTGCACAAAAAACGACATCTGAGGTTCTGGCAAGCTTTTTGAATTTTGGTGCAACTGCTGACAACCATTACAACCCTTGACATCAGGATGATGCTGCGCACCTCGCCAGCCCTCCTGCGCCAGCAATCTTAATGAGAAGCTGGCTGTACCTGCTGTGTTCCCTCATTTTATCCATCCAGCGCGAACTTACAATGGCAAAATGCCCACGCAGGCGGGACCTTTTCCCAACATGTTCGTCATCAAGCAATGCTCTACCATGCTCCACCCTTCAACTTTCTGCTGCTTGAGACAATCGACACGCCTCCCGTTCCTTTGACTCCGGACCAGACCTGGACTCATGCATGAAAATTTTCACACTTCTCCAGCCAGGCTTTGTATTGATCTATACCCCCGCAACAGACAGACTGACATGACTTCCAATTAAGGGCTGAAACGTGCAGGGGTGTTGGTAGTTCGATATCGACCCCCGTGTCAGCTTGTACCGCTGTCATCCAGCGCCAGGAGTCGAACCCTGCCGTAGTCGCATGCATACTTCCTGAATGCCTTCTGAGTTTCCGCGCCTCAACAAGACACTGTCTCTCTTCGGCAATCAGAACAGCGGAAACGCATTGTGCAGTTGGGGTCACGAGTTTCAAAAGCACATCTGATCCACGAAGCTAGGTCTAAACATGGCGTTACAACTTAGTTTCAACATTTCCCACAGCGGAGCATTCAATGCGAGAGGCGCTTTGCCAGTGTGTCCCGATCCCGCTACTCCGAAATTGGGGATGCAACGTGGCCACAGGGCACAGCCTTAGGACATAGCTTGACATAGCGGCCATGCCAAACTGTTAGTCCCATCACGGTGAAGGCCTTGTTCCTTTGAATTTCGCTGCTCTGCTCCTTTCCCTGGCGTATTCTACTAGCTCCAAGCGCATCATCCTGCCTACTGCAGTCGAGAAGTGGTCGAGGCGGACGCGCGCTAGCGTTGACATTTGGTCCCTTCCGGTCTCGAGCTTAAGAATCCCAGGCTGCCTGTATCCCTGTCTTGACAGGCCGGTAAATCGAACGTCGTCCTTCCACTTAGACCCAGACAGCGGCAAAGCATGGCAAAGCATGGCAAAGCACAGCTGCACCTACTAGCTTCTTGCGCAAGTCCTCACCACAGATCGATCCCGGCTGAATCTCAATCCCACATGTCCTGACGAGGACTTGAACATACCGCCCCATGCTCCGCCATGAGCGATGCACAGAATAGAACCCAGCCTAGCAGACTCCAGCTGTATGGTGGACAAGTACCAGGACATGTCGATGGTGAGGGATCTGGATGAAATCTGCGCGTGCCTGTACAAAGTTCTGGGTGGCACTGCCACAATGTGAGGCAGTCGTAAGGGCCAAGATGCATTCGGGGAACATTCTGTTCGTTGACCTAGGCTTTGGCCGTAATTGCCATTCAAGGAAACACATGACGAACCAACCGATCATCACGGACTGTAGCTCTTAAGCAAAGCTCGGATAAAGTTGGGCCGCTCAGTTGCCCTTCGACATTTAAACTGGACACTCCCTTAAAACCAGCCCTGAACCCCACTAGATCGCTCGGATCCTTCTGGGCTGATGCTGAGGTGCACTACCAGCACACCAGAAGCTCACGTCGTCAGCGAGTGAGGATGCGCTGCACCACTTGATGGTCTTGCTGAAGCGCAAGACCTTGCTTAAGAGGTATGACAGGCAGAGTCTGCACGGGCATCCATCTCTTGAGGCACGGGCCACACGAAGATCGGAGCCAGTGCTGTGAGAACCTGCGCTTCGCCAAAAATGATGCCCAACTCTCAGACCAACAGAAGTGATGGCCGACTGTTTGAAGAAAACTTGACCCGTGGTGTTTATTCCCACATGGCTTCTTACCATATCAACCACCTTCTGCGACGCCCTTCCTCGAAGCTTCCGCGAGTCTTTGCTGTAGTCTTGCTTGCTTCGTCCTTCCGCGGCTTCCTTCCGGGAAGCGTCTTCGGTAGGGTTTCGGGACCTCGCTTCCGCGAGTGCACCACGAAGTCTACCGCTTGGGCTCGCGCGTACGCTCCGGGCCTAGCTACAATGAGAAGCATCTGATTCGAATCATATGTTTCAGCTGTCTGAAAACAAGAGCTTCCACAAGCTTTCAAGCCTTCCGCGAAGAAAGGCTTCCGCAGAGCTTCCGCGCCCTTCCACGCACAGGAAAACCTCATTTTCGGACACGATTTGGAAGCGATAGGGTCGTCCGAATTCATAATTGATCTAGCGTAGAAAAAGCTGCTGCTCACTCCAGTTCAAAGGCTCTTCATCTCATTTTTGACAGTTGACCGCATGTGAGGCAAAGACCTGATGCCTGACCCTGTAGTTGGATCGTCGCCATCTCAAATCTTGCCATATCTAATCCACTTCCGCTAGCTGCTAGCCCATCTACCCTGCACGGAAGAAAACACCAACCAAGGCCTATGTAGTCCTCCGGACATATTGAAATGCCCACCTCCAGGCTGCGGGAAGTAGCTCACAAGCTGCGGCGGGTCAACATCACAGCCCGCTTGTGTTGGACAGGCTGTGCAGGAAGTGGAGGACACCAGAGAACTGACACATCCGTATGCCAAGTCATCCCAAGCGCAGCCGGCAGATGCAGCGCATGAGCATGCACTCATAATACCAGGACAAGTTATTGTTGCACAGTGTTCCTGCTGTGGGCATAGGAAGCAGTCAATAGCACCTTGGGTCCCGATATTCTCGCACACACCTCCTCCCTGTGCATACGGCTTCCATACGCAGACTAATCCAGCAGCGCATTCACATGCAGTGGTTGCAGATGGACAGGGGTCGGTGGTTCTGGTTGTGGTAACTGTTGTTGACGCGGCCTCTTGTAGGCCTCGAAAGCGTCGGTTGCTAGCCGCTGCCTCTTGTACCAGTAGGAGAAGTGCCAGTCTCCTTTGGAGTCTGGTCCTTCTACTTGCAAAATGGGAGGAATCCCAATACATGGCCATGCGTCAAATCGGAGAGCCATGGCTCATTGCTTTGCGCGGCTCGCGCCGTGCCAGCTTTCCATGCCATTGCGTGGCATCCTAAATCAACTGCATACAAGCTCATAGCCGCGAAGGCACGCAGTCTCATGGAACCACGCAGACGAGAACAGCACTGGCTCACATAAAGACCATGATCATTCCTCATTGCATTTTAAGCATCAGAGCTTGTTGCTCAGTTGCTTCATTCATGACTCCTCCATCAGGAGCTGTCGTCCAACAATCCGCAGCTGGTTCACTGCAATAATTTCAAGTCGGTATTAACAAGTCGATATTAACATCCGCTTAATTGCTACACTGCTGGCTAAACAGCCAGGTGCCTGCAAAGGCCCGCACACTTCGCACCCGGCGATGACTTCAGAGTCTTCTTTGGCCACGATGCACTATGTACAAGGTGCTGTCAGCAGGCACGTCGCGCCTGAACGAATGTGACACAAGCCATGGGGGACCAAGTGCATTTTGTAGAGACAACATGGCAAAGCCCACAGAAACACAGACATGAAGCATGTCAAGACTGTGTTTGCAGAAAGTCTCATCTAGAAGGAGTTATGTCGCCTAGCCTGTGTTCAAATGTCTTGGCAGTTGACCTGGCAGGAACAACATAAGTCAAGCCTCTGTCGCGCATTACACACTTGTACAGCTACTGTAAGTTCGTAAGCCGCTGCAGGAAATGATGTCGGCAGCACCACCACGCGGCAATAATTGCCAGAGTACGCCTCACGTCACAGGCTGCACGGACTCATCAACTGTCTGAAAAGTATGACCTCTGCGAAGGCTTCGTTGATCTTCGAGAGGGCATAACCTCATGAAGCTTGCATGGGTGTGTAGTTTCCTTTGCAGCCAATTGCTGGCAGGTCGGCTCGAGGGTGACAGGACAGAATCCAGAGGCAGCTCCTGTGGCTGTCACACATCAGTGATCGTCAGTGTGTTCGGTGCCGTGGCGTTTCTCCTCACGGTACTCGTCCAGGAACTTGACCTGAGCTCCACGAAAACTTTTTCTTTCGCCGGGAGCAGCTCATGAGGCACCGGCCGCCTCTTCCAGGTTCCATGGAGTGTAGTTGTGAACACCACGGATGGTGAGACACTGGCACAATTGCCCCGCTTAATCCGCTACTGGGTTGTTTTTTGGTGTTTGCGAAAATTATTTTTGAATTTGGGTGGTTACTAGGAGTTGATGCTTGCTTGGCTTATTCGGGAGTTTAGTCGATCCTTTTTCTCCTGCATGTCTGACGTCACGCTGACGAAAAACTTCGGGAATCAGATTCTGAAAAAG